GCAAATATTGTGAAAAGATATTCAACTCATCTGGTAACTTAACCAAACACATGATAACTCTGGATTTAACTGTGTATTTAACTGTTACTTGATTTAAAAAGACGTTATCATGCACTGCTTTTTATGGTCTCCATTGTGTTAATAGATGCCAGGAAAACATCACTTACGGGGTTCAAATAAACACCCCAACCAAAATCGGCTCGCCGCTTCGCGGCTCGTGGATGATGCTCTGCATCGTCATTATTTTGGTCAAACCCCCCCCCCCCTTAGCAAAAAGCTAGATCCGCCCCTGACTACCTTCAGCTTTTAGGACTAACCTGTCTCTCTCTCTCGCCTCAAAGTATGAGGAGGTCTACGTTCCAAATATTAGTATTCATATCTAGGGGCGTCAAACTATTTTTGTTGGAAGGGGGGGGGGGGGGGTGGTTGGCGGGACGGCGTGCAGGACGGAATTTCCCTTGAATTTTTAACAACAGAAATAAAGGTCTCTGCTTTTATTTGCCGATAAAGGAGCTAAACAAAAAATAGTTATGAGATAAAGCAATCCTGGATAGCTCTCTTTCGGTCTTTGAACAGAAGGGCAAATTAAAATTATATTCGCTTATATATTATTACGATCATACACTAGTTTTTAAATGTAGACGAAAATATATGCATATCGATATATTATACCACACATGACTGCACAGATTTCGAGAATTTCAAAATCATCTTGTCTATCTCATGGACATCATGTTTGGATTACGTATGTTCGCACGTTTCAATGGGTGATAGACAAAGGTATTGAAATTGCTTTGGGTTGATATTTTCCCGATTTTTTTTGCGATTTGACATAATTTCCATTTACATGTATTATTTTTTCATAGTTGGATATTCTTTCTAAGCTGTGTCCCGATTGCTACAAAGAGGAAGAGTTTTTGATTATGGAATGACGGATCCTTCGTGCTCTGTTTCTCGCCCCATCTGAAGTTGAAGATGAAAGGGTAATAATCGATTAAAACTTTTGCATCACGATTTAACCTTTAATTTGGCCAGCCGCTTGACGGTTAATTCGTCTTGCTCTTTATTCGCACTCCCTTTCAGTTTTCGCGTACTTAATATTTTTCCGCTTCAATTCCATATGTTTGACAGCGATCTTCTTTTGCTTATTTGACACCTTTTGGTAATTTCTTCTTTCCTATAATTATGACGCAATAGGAATTGTTCAATCTTAAAGGTATGAAACATCGACCCAAATTGTCAGTTCACGAGAGAAAGGTGAATAGCAGTGCACGGACTCTAGTTGCCGCGGGGGGGGGGGGGGGGGGGAGGTACTCACATATTAGCACTCCAATGGGTGACTTTTTCACAAAAGGTCCCACTTTTGAAAATGGGTCCGTTTTTTCAAAATTTCCAAATATCGGTTGTTTGCAGAAACACACCCGAAAATTGTGGAAATATCTTTTTTTTAGAGAACAATGCCCCCAAATGACCCCTAATAATGGGTAGGGGTTTCGAGGCTTGAGTGGCACACCCCCGTCCAAACCAAATCTGATTCGTTGGAAGTACTCTCTTTAAAAAGAAAAGAGTGAATGTTCACTCTATTTTCACTACATTTTCACTCTCCAGAGGAGTGACGCCCGTGATTTTGAAAATTCACTCTTTTTTTACGAGAGTATGATAAACCATAATGTAGTTGTATTTGTTTGTTCAGATAAAATGAAATACAATAAGATATTCCAGTTAATAGTAAAATATCATTCATTGAACATAGCCCAAAGTTGATGTAGATGAAAACTATAAACTATAAAATGTCTTTTTTTTTCTTCTCTAATTCAGCTGGTTTTCATGTGTAACTATCTGGTTGATCTCACCCTACCAAACTCCCATTCCAAGCACTCCTGCCCGTCGATTTGGGCGGCTGCCGCCATTTTCTTGGTTCTTACAATCCGAAGATCGGAAACCCGTCACAAGTCTGACAACAACAACGATCTCCTAAAGGATCCTTTAAAGGTAAAAATTCAAAGATTGACAACACCTGTTATTGGGTAAACACCCGAACGGTGTCGAATTCCCCATAAGAGCTGACTACTGAGTGTCTTTAAACATTTTTAATTGTATGGTAAGTATTATGAATCATTGTCTAGATATCATTATTAGTTGTTACTTTGGCTTTGTCACCCCCCCCCCCCTCGGCCCCCTCCCTCAGTGTTGACAATGACCTGTCAATAGTTGAATTGACCCTTTTTCTTGGGGGGGGTGGGGGGAAGTGACGCATTTAACATTTTAAATCGTATGGTGGGTGGGTAGTATGAATGTGTGTCTAGATATTATTATGAAGTTGTTACTTTGTCATTGTCACTCCCCTTCCCCTAGTGTTGACAATGACCTGTCAATAGTTGAATTGACCCTTTTTCTGGGGGGAGGGGGAGGTGGGTGACACCATAAGCCTAAGGGTGAGAGAGAAACATAAGTTCATTTCCTGTTCATAAAGTGCGCCCTCTATTGAGAAATCTTAGTGGTTGTTTGGCCCTTTGGACGCCATATTGGATTTTGTGGTTTCCTAAACCACTGCTTAAGGTTCTAACTTATCCTAATGGATTCTATGACCCCGAAAACCGTAGCATAGACACCTCACTTATGTCTCTCGGATGGATAATAAGTGACTTATGGCCATTTTTATGTTATGGCGGCCATTTTGGACGCCATATTGCATTTTGGGGTTTCGTAGACCATCACAAAACATTCTTACTTGTCTCAATGGATTCTCTGACCCCAGAAACCATGGGATAGACACCAAAATTATGTCTCTAGGATGAATAATAAGTGATTTATGGTCATTTTAAGGTATCGGCGGCCATCTTGGACGCCATCTTGAAAAAAAACAGCTTTCTGAACCTTCGATTTTGGTCTACTTTTAGTATGTTATTCCTGAGGTCGAATTCTACTAGAAACCATTGAAAAATCCTTTGTTGCAATTTTTTTGGGGTTGGGGTGTTTTTTACCGTATATTGACCTGACTATAAGGAGTAAAAGCATAATTTGTTGATTAACGTTCTATTAGATCTACTTTGATATTGCATAAAACAAATAATGAATGTTTTTCATTCGTTCAATAGTGCAAATATTTACATTCGTTGAAAGATTAAAGGTAAAGACCAGTATTGGAAACGCCCCAATTTCAAAAAATGAAATGGAAGCTCTTATTACAAATCATGTGAAAGAATATGTTTTTACTAATACATGATGATAAAACATTTGCCGGGAAACCGCCTACTAATTGATATATATTTGGTAAATTAGTTTATCTATTGGACTGTGAGAGATAAACGCACGTGTCGCGCACGTGTGTGTAGTCCCATATACATCTTTCTGTGTACAGTGCTTGTAACTTTACGAAGACTGGGCCAAATTTCTTATCATTTTGATGATTCCAGAACCTTGCAGTACACACCAATACTTATATGCTAGATGATCAACCTTTTCTGATCGATTCCACAACGTTTCTTTCACAATGCAATCGCATGACCATAACTGGTCTTTATCTCTAACGTTAATTCTATTCAACTCGGCTGACGCCTCGTTGGATAGAACGTTAATCTTTCAACTCATGAAAATATTCGCACTATTGAACTCTTAACCATTCATTATTTGTATATCATGACATAATTATCAAGGCTCGGGGTATACGTCTAGCACAGATAAAAAGGCCCATAAACTGGGTAAGGGGGTGGGTACCGGGTTCATTCAGGGGCAATGTTTTGTTTTTGTTCATCAACAAAAAGAAGAAATGCAAATTTATTAGGGAAAAATTAGGGTAAAATACGTACGGGAAGGGATTTCACTTTCTTTTTACATTCTGATTCCCCTTTACCCCCCCCCCCCCTTTTTTTGGGGGGGGGGGGCGGGGCAATCGGATGTAACCTATTTTACATCCCACATAGAGATCACGTACAAGGCATAATGCTAAAAGATATGGTTATAGAAATGTTTCTTTGAAATACTTATAAGCATAACGTTTATTTAAACGTACTAAGAATCTATAGAGAAGCAGGCAAATGTCTGAAATTCCATTTTCCCAATCTCTTTATTTCGTATAATAACATTTTCACCGATCAAATATTATCATAATTGTTGACAAGAAAATAGTAGAAATATAGCATACAGAGTCCTTTATAATTTTGTTTATTCAATTTGGAATACCTCACTTAAATGTAATGCCCAATAATGTATATAAATCAAGTCTTAAAGTAGCCACACGAAGAATCAGAAGTGTTTTGAATTGATGCAAAACTCATATCATTGCGAAGGGGAAGCCTTGCCGATCAAATACAACAACTCTTCTCTCCAAAATATGTTTGTGAGCCCTCAGTAATCAACTCTCAAAAATGTTAGTTTTGAGATCCAGATTTTCTGCCTTCAGCGGTCCTTTGTAGAGCGTCAATATTTGTGACGTCACATACGGGACACGGCTGGCTAGCTGCATACTGCTACACGGCACTGAGCTGTTCGTCCAGTGTGTGACGTCACAATTCACAGCTCGCTACGCTTGTGTGTTTGACTTACGTTCAGGGGCGTTCGGGGGTCTAAGGAGGGTCTTGAAAAATTGCATTTTACGCCTTTCCATGATATCTATATGATTTCTCAGCAAATTGTTCGTGTTTTTCAAGAGAAAATCTTTCCATCCATATGTAATTTGTTCTAATTATGAGTTGTTAGTGAATTTTCTTTGTGTAGCTCCTTTAACAATACATTCACGTTGCGATATAATAATATATTCATCACAACAATAGACAGCTCTCTTCCCACATACCCAGAACATCCCAATTGACAGATGACAATGCTTTTCAATCATTATATCACTATGAAAAGAAAGAGGACAAAATATACAGTTCCTCATTCTACCGTCAACAATTGCCATGGTAGACAAAGGAACATCCCTTCACTGCTATTATGTAAACATGTGTAGAACAGGTGTCACATGCATATTCACCTGTTCTACACATTCTTACATAACAGCAGTGAAGGGATGTTCCTTTGTCTACCACAGCAATTGTTGAGGGTAGAATGAGGAAGTGTATATTTTGTCCTCTTTCTTTGTCCGTCATGTTCAGAGTGTATGCACCCCGCCTATTAAATCAACTGCCCCGGAACATCATCCATACAGTACACACACTAGACACCTTTACGAAGCACTTGAAGACGTATTTTTTAAACTGAGTTTTCAACCCTTAACCATATAAAGCGCTATGAGACTTATTGTGTGAGAGTGCCATATAGTTGAACATATCATTTATAATAATTATTATAAAAACAGGTAAATCAAAGTTACAACATTTTACAAAAACTATCACCAAAATTAACAGGAGAATAATTCGAAAGCAAAGATTACAAAATAAAGCCATCTCACGGATACGACAAAACATATAATAAAAACATATTTTAATGCATCTCTCAAATGATAAAGAAAAGTGAGAGACGCTGAAGGAAAATGACGTCAACAAAATGGCGTCATATGCATGTCTGCAGTCACGTGATAAACGCTTTCCTCCAATCAGAAGTGGCCTAATAGCCGATACAAAGCTCAGTATAATCCCGCCCTGGGATATGGCCTATAAAAGGAGAGAAAAAATGTAAAAATGTATTTTTACTGCATTATAATTCAAGGCATAATCATCATACATAAAGGAGTCCATGTATTCATTATTGGATATAAACTTTAGAGATTGATAATGCTAGCTTTTCTTACGTATTAGAAAAGATACTTTCTTTCGAAATGAACAAACATTATTTGTTACCTGAACATGTACCATGAAGCCCAACTTTAGGCATACACTGTGTTTCTTAAGCGTAAATAGTTGATTTGTTCCTCCTCGATCTCTAGTCCCCCCCCCCCTCCCTTTTTCTCTCTCACTCATTCTCTCCCTATCTCTCTCTCTCTCTCTCTCAGTCTCTCTCTCTCTCTCTGACTCTCCCCAACCCTTTCCATTTTCTCTTTCTGTTTCTCTTCCCCTCTTCTATCTCTCCCGACGGTCGTGACATTTTTTTCGCATCTCTTAGTTCTATCTTCTTTTTTTATAAATCTTTAAAATCTTAGTTCTATCTTACCATGCCTGTCAGAGACTGTTTTACAGATTTCATCATAGCGCCCTCTCTGGACAAGGCGATCGAACGCGTCGTTCCACCAGTTGACGAAATCGCGGTTATTGTGACGTGTCATGACAGAATTCCCTCCTTTCAGACACTTATTCTCGAAGTCTGAGGGCGTGATTCTCATCAAGGCGCTGTCGTACTGAGAGAGGGCTGAGACAAAAATGACATCGATCTACAGAAATAATGAAACAAGAAAGTAAGTAAAGGACCATTTACTTAGGCCTATATAATCATAGATTTCGAAAGTTTGGCGGCGTGATTCTTATCAAAGCGCTGGTTTACTGCGTGGGGACTGAAACAAAGATGACATATAGCCCAAGGAAATATAGAAAAAAGGAGGCCTTGTATTATTTTATCATCATTAATAATAATAACTAAATTAATAATATCAATAGTAATAACAATGATAATAATAACGATTATTATTATACTAATAAAATAATAATTCTAATAATAATAATAATAAAAAAAGTTATTTTAGATACAAAAAATAATAATGATAATAACTATATCAACAGCAATGATAATAACTTTGTTTACCCATGGAATCCTAATCCAAAAAAAATATTGAACATCGTGTCATCTTAGTAAGACTACGAGCCCTTGAGATCAGCTAGGCCCCATTTCAGGGCTTCATTTCACAAAACAAATCCACTGAAATCATTGCTTCTGATCAGCAGATTTGTCTCTATTTTTTGTCATTTGTCATTGAAAAAAGGCCTTAGGAAACGAGTCCCTGGCCGACTGGTAAATCCTTTAAAAAAAGGAACTTCTGATCAGAAGTCCGTCGACATTTCGGTCTCATTGCATCTCATACACCTTTTTAAAATGCCCGCTAGGGTGGCTAGACCGAGAGGAGTCGGTCTCGTGAGCTTTATTTGCTGTCACTGTATTATCATGTGTTAAAGAGCTACATGTACTTCAAGCTTACTTTCCAGTTCTTCTGCATTAGCCATGCCAATCAATAGTTCCCAACATTTTGTTTCATAAATTGTGTTATTCATTGTGATTTGAAAACATATTACCACTATGTACAAAATGCTCATATTGTTATACAAATAATACACATCAGTAAGGGCATTAGTAAGACAAATAATGTGTATTATTTGTTTTGTAAGATTATGTTTTATTTGTTTTATAAAATGATGTTTTCTAACATGATTTTGATAATGACCAGTCATTATCATTGGATAATGACCGGTCATCACCCGAATTACGCGCGATTACGCGTTAGGCAAAATAAATGCCTGGTCACGTGTACCCTTTCAACCAATCATTTGATTAGGATCCACGTCATCATCTTATAATACTGATTATCATTGTATGAAGAAATCATAAAACAATACATCAAATCAAATCAAATTATTCAAGTCAGCTGTAATTACAAACTGACCTCTCCAGAGTTGAGTGCTTCAATTAGTCTTTCTGTTGAGGCGAAATGTGTGATTTGGCCTTGACGCAGACTCGAACCCTGCAAAGAGAGAAACAGCCATCAGGAGCCTGTTTCATAAAACTTGTTATCTATATGCAAATGCTAAATTTCTATGACAAATTTGCTCTCAGCCAATCAGATGCCATGATTTCAGTAGCTTATAACAGTAGCTTGTAACTTGTTATTGATATCAAGTTTTATGAAACCGCCCCCAGATTTCGGATGATTTTGTATTGATTCATATCCGGAAAAGGGTAACTTAGCCTCCACTATACAGCATTTTCCTATTGGCATTACAGTTGAACTAGGTTTTTGATTTTGATTCTATTTTATTTCTGCATTTTTTCCATATAAAATATAACTGAATAACAAAGAACATACAAATGTAAGGTATAATACAACATAAACAAACAATAATTTCTTCATGTCAAAATGTTTTTTTACATAATATATTATGTACATAATAACGAAACTTAATATTGACATAACATATAATCATAAATTTAAAGTATTGTCTGAACTATTCTGTTGGAAAAGTGTAGGAGACCGCAATCATAAGCAAAGCTTGACAAGGATGGCGGCCTCAAAAAAGGTTAAGGGTATATGATTATTTTGCAAACGAGTACTCGTTTGTGCCACGTCTATTATTGCTGTGTTATATCTTTCTAAATATACTATGAAATTTTATTTTAAATGTTCTGTATAAACGTTATGCTTTTTAATGTAAATATGTTCATATTTCTTTAGGCCCACATGGGAGACCACTACTTATTGGTTAATGGGCTACCCTGGCAAAAGATTAAAAATAAATAAAATAAACAAATAAATAACAAAACGAGGGTAGGCCTACACGATAGTTATAGAACTAAAGTTTGCTCGGATATGGCGCGGCCATTCAAACCACGGCGGTTTTTATGACTACAAGGTTAAGTAATACGCAACACTTTCCAGGGCCCGGGCCAATGAAAAAAACTTTATGGTAACTATGACCATTAATGGTAACTACAAAGAAATCTTGATTCCATTGACTGTTGAGTGAGGTTGGTAAACGAGACCCTGAATAAGTATTATATTCCTCTTTTTTTTAGAAATCTAGCCATCTGATTGGTCGAAATTGTAGTCGTGATTTTAGCCATTCCCGGAAAGAAACGAACTTGTTCATGAGTGGGATTCCCTAAAGATTCCGGGTACCGGGAAAATAGTAAACTTTTGATGAGATCCCCATTGGTTTACGTATTAAAAGTTAGTTTGTGCGAGTGCGGATACCATACATTGCTTTTTGTCTGCGATTCCAAAATGATTGTAACATTCAGTCATCTTTCCAGCAAATATTAACAGACAGTGTCCCAGATTTTCTGTAATGTTTTAACCAGCCTTTACTCAAGAAAAGGCTAAGGTAAAAAATTCTTTGTAGATTTTGTGTGTGAATTCGGTATATAAAAGATATACAGACTGCTTTAATATTCGAGGCATGTTTGTTTTTACAGGCTCTCAGGGACGTTACATCCTGCCATCACCCCCTCGGCACGCCTCGAGGTGATAACAGGATGTAACGTCCCCTTGACCCTATAAAAACAACTATCCCTCATATAGCAGTCATTATATTTTATAATGCAGAGCTCAGTGAAAACTACGCACAGGACCTTTGTTGCGCCATTCATTTACAAATGAAAAAGTGCAGAGAGGGGAAGTTGGAGAAATTAGAGTGAGAGAGGGAGAGAGAGAGAGATGGGAGTGGGAGCCAAAATTATAACAACTGAATCATATCGGCAATTTGAATGAGTTAGAGTTATAGAGCAGTTCTTGGATTATCCTGACAGGATATTCATTTCAATATCATAATTTACACAAAGAGGGTGTTTTTGTGTTTGTTTCTTTGCCCCGTTCTGGCTTTCTCCTTTTTCTTCTTTCCCTTTTGCGGCCGGGCCGGGGAGGGGGCACATGCTCGTTATGCCCTATTTTCCTGGACACGCCATTGAAACCAAATCGGATCAAATCGAATCGAATCAAATCAAATCAAACCTATCGAGCGGCGTCATCTTCGCCCTGGACTTCGCTCATCTGGCCTTACTCTCCAAATGCCCATTACTCATCTCAAGGGATATGGAGACAGGGCATTTCCCTCTATTGCTCCTCGCCCGTGGAATTCCCTCCCATCATCTATTCGCGAAATTGACAACCTGGATCACTTCAAAGCTTCACTCAAACCTGACATCTTCCTTCAAACATTTAAATGCTAATTCTATTGGAGGAGCTCGCGCCTTTGAATATTTTTTTTAACAGATATATGGCGCCATACAAATGCTGTTCATCATCATCATCATCATCTATCCAAATCAAAGCAAATCAAAATCTAATTAAATTAAACAAATTTATCAAAAATAAAATAAAATAAAATCCAACTATACCGCAATATCAGTATATCTTGCAAGACAGAACTCATCGTAGGCCCACCCATCGGAGAACCCGACCTTCAGGTTTGTCAAATCACTGTATGAGAGTGTGCTGCCGCTCTTTGCATACATTCCAACTTTGTTAGCTTCCATGAAAGGTTTTGTGAAGGAGAATGTTAGCAGACGGTCAAATGATTGGACCCAACCTGAAAGGTAATACAAAGTGTTGGTATGGGGTCGTGAATTTGGTTCAAATTAACATATTGGAAGCATATGCGATTTTACAATATTCAATGATCGTTGTCGCGGTTGAAATCGAGTCAAAAGTGATGAAATTGTAAATAATAAACTCTAAATGTTGTATTGCTCCCTCTCAAGATTGAAATTACTTTAGCTTTAAAACAATATTTCTTGACTATACAATCGACAAATTGGCTGTTCACGTTTGGAAATTATATAGTAGAACTGCATATTCTGAAATGTTCATGGTCGCAGCTAGACCATGGGGTGGCCTTAGGCGCTATTCTAAATATTTTGTATTCACCGGGAACACCAGTAAATTTTTGATTATTAAATATCTCGAAAGCAGAAGTGTTCTACGGGCTTACTTTTCTGGTTCTTATAGTACATCCACAGGGGTTTCCAAATATATCAAAAACTTTAAAGAATTACTATCTATCCAATTTTCAAAGTTTCTTATAACTCTACCTTTACGATGACGGAGGAGTCAAAGGTCAAATAAATCAGGGTTTCTTCTTCAAATCGGCAACACTCATTTATCACATCATCATTATTATTATTATTGGTATGATCATGATGATCATGATTATCATTATCATTATCGTTATTATTATTATTAATATGTACACTGTGGATTGCAACCACATTGTACATTAACTGTGTGTATGTGTGTATAGCATGTAGCATTGAGTCAATGTATAAGATCACATATTACAATATCATTATTTTTATTATTATTATCACTATAATAAGCAAATAATTACCGTTGGTGAAGGTGATGGCACAAACTATCACTTCCGAGGCGATCTGGATGTAGCTATCTTTCCGAAGCGAAGCTGAGGAAAGATAGCGTATACATTCTGATCGACGAGGAAGTGATAGTTTGCCATCGCCTGAAACCAAAAGGTGATTAATTGCTTTATATTCCACATCTAAAACAATTTAACTACAACAAGAAAAGGACGTGTATGCATTTACATAAAAGACACCTAGGCCCAAATTCACACCAAAAAAGGTTTAAGTTTAACCCAACCCCTTGAGGGTACGGTGCGCGCATGTGTTTTATTTCATTGCGCTCAATGGTACTGCGCGCTTAATTACGCCTGTTTTAGTGCGCTTTTGGATAATCTTCAGTGAAAGTGCGTTGTTCTGTGTAGATAGTACCTCTATCTTGAGTGAAAGTGCGTTGAACTTTGTAGATAGTACCTCTATCTTCAGTGAAAGTGCGTTGCACTGTGTAGATAGTAGTACTATCTACACAGTGTAACAAACTTTTTGCTTCTCCCATCAAAAATGGGCGAACTATCTTTCATCACGTGATTTACTTTTGACCAATCATAGAGCAAAATTCTTAGTATGTGGAATATAATAATAATTATCATGATTATTATCATTATTATTAAAATTATCATGTTCTCTATTTTGAATATGATCAGTATCACTAACATTATCATGTCACATGATGAATAAATTAGTATAGTGCTATTAGTACCGTTAGTAGTAGTATACAGTACTTATTCAAAGTAAAAGTAGGAGTAGTAGTAGTAGTAGTAGTAGAGGTAGTAGTAGCACATGAAGAAGTACTACTATTAGTAGTAATAGTTATAATAATAATAACATAATCATAAATAGTAGTTCTGAATATAACTACTAACAGTATAGTACTAGTACCAGTACTATTAGCAGATGTAGTGTATAGTAACACTAAACCCAAGTACTTATCCTACTAGTAGCAGATGTAATAGTAGTAATAATAATAGTAATATTGATTGTGATAGTACATGTAGTTAAGTAGTATAGTACAAGAACCAGACGTGTTAGTAGTATACCACCACTCCTACTTCTAAAAGCTGATGTAATACTAGAAACAGATGTAGTAGTACTAGTATACTACCACTACTACTACTATACTAATAGAAGTAGTGGTAGCAGTAGTATTATTATTAGTAGACTAGTTTTACTGCTACTACTACTAGGCTACTACTACTAGTAGTAGTAGAAGAAGTAGTAGTAGTAGTAGAAGTATTAGCAGTAGTAGTAATGGTAGTAGTAGTAGTAGTAGTAGTAGTAGTAGTAATAGTAGTAGTAGTAGTAGTAGTAGTAGTAGTAGTAGTAGTAGAAGCAGAAGTAAACAATGTACACAATATCTACGATCCTGCACTCTTCTCTACTCGGTGCACTATTTACAGGCCTGCACATGCCAATCTAATAACAGTGGCATTCACATCCTGGCGGGAACCCATTCACAACCTGGGTGGAGAGGAGCAATTTTAGAAAAAATGCCCTTTGCAATTACGACTTTATTATGATTATATGGTATATACTCACCCGAGCAACCGTCATACCAGCCTCCCATTAGACCCTGGCCGCCCCTGGGCCGCTGGCCTGCGTTGCTGTCCCAACAATTGCCATAGACGTCGTATACCAATTTGCAGTTCTTGTTAGCGATGGAGCAAACTTGTGATATTGAAATAGAAGTAAAGAAACTGATACAGGTTATGAAACGTTGATTCACTTGCCTGTGTAAATAGTAAGAACCGTTTACAGATAAAAGGATAAAAATCAATATTTTGTGAACCTGTTCAGAAAGTTTATGTTGTGTAGGTGGATGCACTGCTTAGAACAGAGAGTTAAATCATGAACTTCTCAATACGATAGCAGATGTTCGCTCAATTAAATATATACATATAGCAATGAAGCAAAACCGCTTTAGTATTGTGTTACAAAAACGCGGTTACGTTCATTATTAGACTTATTCAAAATCTTAAAATTCTATATATATATTTTTTTTTTTCGAGGAGGGACATGGAGGGGGGGGGGCGGATGTAAGAATTTCACAATTTCACGGTTTTATGGGATCAGATTTAAAATTGTGGCAATCAAGGAAGCAAGCAAGCAAAAAGAAAGAAAGAAAAAGACAACACTTGCAGACAATTAAAGACTTAGAATTTGCCTAGAGAAAAATTGATGGTTGAGGCATTGAGGTTGGAATTCAGGCCCTCCAATTAAAAAAAAAAAAAGCCCCTCCCCCTATTTAGCGACGCTGCTAGTTGATAATGCCCAACTAAAAAACCGAGTGATGCTAAATATATTACTCATTGCAGATAATATCGCTAGTGATATTCGTTTGTCTCGCAATACCCGTATTCCGTATAGTATATAAGAGACGCTTGCTTACAATATATTTTATCACCTGACGAATTGTTGCAGCGGCGCACAAAACGTCGTGATCTATTGATCCCTTGTTGACTATACATTGCGAGACAAACGAATATCACTAGCGATATTATTTTTCAAAAAAAAACGAGTGTTTTTTTATTCTTACCCGCATCCACTATATCCGGATTAAATCCTCGGATGGTGTAAGTCTCTTCATCCCTGCGTCAAAGATCAAAGGTCAAGGTCAAGAAAGGTCAATGAGAAAGCGAAGATTACATGTTGATATAAATCTTAGGAGTGGCCGGCATATCCAGATGAGAATGCAACGTAAAACTTTAAAGCGATACTTAACTGAAATCTCTCTGCCCTAGCGTACTGTTTCTTAAACAACGCCTTACGTCAGACTTACGGCCATCTTACGCATTGTTGTTCTCGCAAGATGCTCGTACGTGAAACTGACGGCATTCTCAAGTCATTCGTAAGAAGATGTTACGATTTTTGGGACATTTGTCGGGTTGCAAAAAAGCGCAACACCTTACGAACTCTAGGAGTCGTTCGTACGAAGGCCATACGAATATCCGTCTGTAAGAGCCTTCTATGAACAACTTAAGGCGTTCTTACGATCATCGTAAGAATGTTAAGGCTTCTAGAATTGTCTCTCGACCCTACGAAATGTACAAATATCTTGCGTGGTTCTTACGATGTTATTACGACGTCCGTACGGCTGCCTTACGAAGAGAGAGAGAGTTTCGTGCGAGGTTGAAAAAATCTTGGACAAGACCATCGACAAATCTTCGAACTTACGAATGGTCTACGAACGCTTGTTTCGTACGGCCTTCTTCAGTAGATCTTACGAAATGGTCTGAAAATCGTTCGTAAGGCGTTCGTAACAGCCCGTAACGGTATTTGTGACCGAGGCTTTGAACAACGCCTTAATAGCTTCTCAGTGTCAACTTGCCAACAGTGCGTAACCCAATTCCTAATTCCCACTATATAGTTCAATACTTTCAAAGATAGGAAGCGTGCGGAATTTCGAGAGATCTTTTGAGAATCTGCATTATTTTGCTACATATGCTGCATTGGTAGACAGACGACATATAATTATACTAAAGTAGGCCTACACCGACGACTCCAATAATGTTCACTTCATACCTCCACTGCCATATAATTATTCATGCAAAGCTGCCACTCCTCAGACAGTAAACTTCCAGTGACCTTTAATGGCATGCTTCAAATAATTTCGTATACTATTCATAAATACCCTGGCCACCCGAACTTCCACAAAATAATGTGCGTTTGAATAACCCCAAAACAGCCAAGGACCCGTTTCGCAAAGATTTTTTTTCAATGACAAAAAGCAGTCACAAATTCAATTCAATTCAATTCAAGGTTTATTAAAAACATGCGTCGCAGCCCAATGGCTGAATTGGTCATGAGTACAAGTAAAAGACTCATTGTATATTTCAGACATAAAATGCAGTTACAATTATTGATCTGCTATATTGAAATATATAGTTGATATCTTAAGATTGCTTGGGCAGCAAAAAATAAGAAAACAGAAGATAACATGAAGTCGGAGAAACGGAGAGGAGAAACATGAAGTAAAGAAGTAAGAAGTAAATGAGGAAGTTGTTAAAGTACATATGTACATCAAAAAATATATATTGCATAAATGTACTTTTAAAGAGTCATTAAGAGAATATACGAATATAAAAATAGAAATGAACACATTCTTTTCATAACATTGTTGACGTTTGCTATTGCAAGTATTTGTATTATAGCTTTAATAGAAGAATATTTATTATTATTATTATTAATTGAAGAATGATATTTAAAAAAAATGCAATTAAGGCACTCTATCATTCCTTTTCCTTGAGTTATAAAGTGGTTATTGAAGGTAAAGGGAACATAATTTTGTTTTTTGGTTTGTTATTATCTTATGGAGAGTAAAAATCAGGGAACTTCAACAGTGATTTGTGAAAAGAGTATATAATACAAATAAAAATTGTATATTAATTCATCTATTTTGATTAATTGGGCTTGGCTTTATTGAAAAGATCGACAAAGTAAGGTAAGGGGCTATTTCGGAAACGATTGGTTTTGCATTTGCATTGATGATTATCTAGATGCATGGAGTAAGGAGATGGGTATGTTTTTCCGAAGAGGTAACCAGGTACTACATGTTGGTAGTTTAGCTAAAGATATAGCAAAATCCACACAAAGCTTTTCCCTTCTGGATTCAAACGTTGCCATATCACACATTTGGCAAGCATTGGTATAATGTGTGTGTCGTGGACCCAACATGATTCTACAGTACATACTCTTTTTTGAACTTGCTCCAAGCTTCTTATTTGTTTCTGCGTAAGCCCACCATTAAAACTGGGGTACAGCGCGTTCCATGACAGTACGAATATAGCCCGTATATACCAGTTTTAAATCAGCTAAAGACAGCTAGTCCATATCGTTCATGCAGAAGCCTAAACATATACAACTTTCTATTCCATTTTTGGAGGATTTCAGTGACATGTAGATCCCATTTCAGATTGGATTGCACAATGACGCCAAGAATTTTAACAGATTGGAAGTTTTGCAGGGGTGAGTCATAAATATAACAAGTTAGTTCGGCAGGAGGATTTTCGGAGAATGTCACACTAAGTGAAAAAAACACTTTGAAATCTGTTGATAACTAATCAGAAGCAAGGATTTCACTAGCTTATAACAAAAACTGTCATTCATCACTGATGACATTTTTTTTTTTACTGGGGCCCTGTCACGTAGATCGATATGACACACGTTCAAGCCCGACGAAGATAATAATTATATTCACGGGTGCATCTTTGGGCCTACATTGAACTTGGGGAAGAAGTGGGCTGTTGCGTGGGATGCGCCTGAGTACACAAAGGGGCGTATACAGCGGAAGCTATATACAACAACGTCAAAATAAATTGTAATAATAATCCTTATAATAGATTATGCTTTGTTTATCCAGGGTAGCCTCACCGGTATCAATACCATTCTTCCTGCAATCATATGATTACCCCGGCTAATATACACAATGCGTCCCAGAAAAAAAACGAAACAGAGAATCCGTTCCACTAGCTGTCTGCTAGCTGCCCTAACACCAAAGAACTTGAAGATGAAAGACTTCATGCATGGCTGATCACGGGGCTGCTCGTCAGTCGTTGTTACTACGACAGGCAGCCAGTGAAAACTAATTGGTTTAATAACATTATGGAAATGCAAACATTTCTTTAAAGAAACAGAACCTTATTATTCCTGGCTCATTTTTCCTGATTGAGGTGTCATAATTATGAAAGAGCAGAAAATGAACCTTCTGGAATAGTGTTTTTCTCTTTGAAATTCAGATACCGTGCGCCAAATGATTTTTTGGTACCCTTTCTTCAAATTATTTTTAATCACTCATGCGTAAAATATACATCACAAATATGTGTCATTTATTAATTATAATTGTGATTAAGTTCTGACAAAACATCGATAACGGGATGTTAATGCAATAAGGTATTAAGTGGGTGAGGGCATACCACTGTCTTTTGTTCATGTTTTTGTTTAATCTAGCTGACTGATGTTTTCATATAATAGCCCATTGAAACCCTTCTTTTCATGGTGTTGCTTGGGGGTTTCTGAGATAGCCACTGCTTAAAACGTAATTAGATTTTGGGCGTAGTAACTTTGCGAGTTGTACCATAATGCCCCATTTATTTTAAAGGTTAACTTAAAAGTATTCGACGTTGCAACCATAGTATGGCCTATTTATTATAAAGTTGACTTACAAGTATTCAACGTTGCTACCGTAGTGGCCAATAGCAATCATCCAGATCCTTTCGTTACTAGTAACTGGTTCAAAGAAAGACAAAAAGGACAATAAGACAAATCAATTCAATTCAGTATCCAATTCAAGTTTATTTCCCCATTTGGATACAAAACTAAGAAATACAATGAACATATGTAGGTGTGTGTGGGTGTGTGTGTGTTTGTCTGGGTTGGCAGGTATAGTTCAAATAGAATAAAGATCTGTAATACTATAATTTTCATAGTGAAGTATGTTTTATTTATGTCAAGGTCAGCAGGACAAGTACCAGCTTTAGAAAAGATGAAGAAAACTATTTTTGATTAGAGGGATGAGGAAAAGAAAATAGCCATTAGAATAGAAAAGCTGGGATTACGTTTTTTAAAGTGGGAGCAGCTTTGTATTAATTAAGATTTGTTTTCCTCTCCACCGTGAGCTTGTTAAAGTGTAACTCTATTTTGCAGCCATAACTTACTTATTTAGTATATTTTTCTTGAGTTGAGAATGTTAGCAGACATCCACTGAGGAGTATGTGTGTGTGTGTGTGTGTTTGTATGAGGGAGGGGGATCTGGGAGTACCAGTAAAATAACCTCCAGTCTTTTTAATAATATTTTTGTTGTTATTATAAGTAAATAATATGTGAAATTGACTTATAACTTATGTTTCAATTCAATTTTCAATTTATTTATTCAACCATAACAAAAATACATATACAATAATAATTCATGATAATATAAAAACATGGGGTTAGGGGCCCCTGAAGAAGTTTGAAAACAAACTTGTGATTGGGGCACCAACCATGACACATATATCGAGAAAATTAACAAAAACAACATTAACGGGAAAACAAATATATACAAGAAAATGATTATAAAGACCTACATGTATTTGAGGATAAGACATTTACAGCAAAGCACCAGCAAAGGACGCACACAGGACACGACGTCAAGAGACACTGCGTCACTATGTGCGCCCCGGCTGGTGCTTTACAGTATTACAAAACATTTATATACAAAATATAAAAAAGTGGAGCAAGTTATTCATTATTTAATTGAGCGTGTTTTTGTACTGAAAGAACATTTTATTTTTCAAGAGTTTTTTAAATTTATCAAGAGTTTTACTTAGTTTAATATCATTGTCTAGGTCATTCCATAACTTAATTCCATTACAACGTAAGGAATTTGACTAATTGTAGTTTTGGGAAGAAATTGATGAAGATCTGCGTGTTGACGGGTGAAATATGAGTGATAGGAGTCATTAGTGCTAAAAAGATCATTAAAAGTATCTGGCAAGGCATTCGTATGATAATGATACATAAAGATATAGGTATACATAAGTACAAGGTCAGAGACCTTTAATGTTTTACATTCAACAAATAAATTGCTTGTATGGTTATTAAATGGTACATTACAAACTGTTCTTATTGCTTTTTTCTGAGTAATAAAAAGTCTATTTAAGTGTGTTTTAAATGTATTCCCCCAAATCATACAACAGTAAGTGAGATGAGGCAAAATCAATGTGTTGATACTTGGGTAATAATCTTGCCATCCATAGTGACTTGTGGGATATCATTACTAGCTTTTTTATTTTTTGTTTTAAAGAGAACATATTTAGTTTTTTCAAAATTTAAATACAATTTATTGCATTGCAACCAGGTAACAACATTGTGGAGCTCCTTATTAAACAGGTGAATTAATGTGCTGATTTTTGAGTTAGAAAGAGTAATACTGGTATCATCCGCAAAAAGTATGAAATTAAGAATTGAAGAACAATTTATGAAATCATTAATATATAACAAAAATAATAACGGGCCGAGAACAGACCCTTGCGGAACTCCGTATAATACACGACTTAAATCTGATTTGACACCGTTGACCACAACATATTGCATACGATTTGATAAATAATCATGAAACCAATCAAGAGCATGACCTCTGATTCCATAATGTTCCATTTTTTAAAGAAGTATGTCATGGTCAACGGTGTCAAATGCCTTTGAGAGATCTAAAAATATACCAACAGTAAAATTACCCTTATCTATTTCTTGCATTATACGATCATACATATGAAATATATGCATGTATTTGGAATATTTTTTATGAAAACCAAATTGTTGCAAGATCAATATATTATTATAATTCAGAAAACCATATAAACGTTCAAAAACAAGTTTAACAGAGCGGATGATTTTAATCAATGAATCTTTGTATTTTTTATATTTCTCTTCTTTTTTTCTTTTAGTTTTTGATGGTCCAGAATATTTTCGAAAATCTTTATATAAATTATTTTTCTTATTAATTGACTTTATAATGCCAGAGGAGATCCAGGGTTTATGGATTCTTATTTTTTTAATAATTTTATTGCGAACGACAGGGAGACATTCATTATAGAAACGATAAAAAAATAGAGTAAAACATGTCATAAGCATGATTCACATCTTTTGAGGCATAAATAGGATTCCAGTCTACACAGCTCAATTTCTTTTTAAAATCATCAATCCTAGAATCATTTATCAATATCATGAAACTGGATTCCTTTACAGGTAAATTATGAGTGTATTTTGTTTGCAACATAAAATATTGGAAAATGATCTGAAATATCTGAGTACAATAACCCTCCATCGTGTTCAATTTGAATTGCATTTGTGAATTGCATTTGTTTATGTACTTTAAGTTTACTAACTCTGAATATTTGCTCAGTTATTTTATACTGAATATGAGTTTTTGTTTAATTATGTTTATGTATAAGCAATCAATATTGAAAACGTTTATTTTTGTAATTAAAAATTATGATTGTATTTGAAGGAATAAAACAAAATTACTGTTAAAGAAAAGTGTGTGTGTCTGTGTGTTCATATGGGCCTATATATGCCTTACATGTATAAAACAAAGATTTGAAAGAAACACTCCTCATAATGTGGCGGGAATCACAAAGGCCAGCAGGCATATCTAGGTAATTCCAAGACTAACAAAAATAACATAAAATGTTCATTTATCGTGCTTATTATAAAGGGGGGAAAATCAAGGAAAGTTACAAAATAGCTCTAAATAGATTATTTCATGAATACATAAACAAAAAATAAATACACTACACTCTACAACAATACAATGCCAGACGTATAAAACCAAACTGACCTAGATGCGGTTCGGCGCGTGACAAGAAAAGCCCTCCAAAATCTGTTCACGTAACTTGGATGGATATTGTGGAGAAAGCTTCAAAAGGAGGTCAAGTTTATGAAAAGCTTCCATCGACAAATATTTATTATTTGTGACTCTTATTGTCTGGTGTGGAATCAGCCTAGTTTGGATGACTTGCCATTTGGGCTACAACCAGGGGCGTTTCACAAAACTTGTCATCAGTGACACATGACAGTTTTTGTTATAAGCTCCTGAAATCCTTGCTTCTGATTGGTTATTAAAAGATTTGTCACTGATTTTTGTCATTTTTCATTGAAAAAAGGTTTTGTGAAACGGGTCCCAGTTCGTCTATTACCCAATTAGTCTATTCTCATATGGTCTACACCTGTCTACTATCCACATGGTCCAATCATTTGGTCGAATGGCTATTTAGGCTAATATTTATGGTCTCCGTTGTGTAAGTAGATGCTAGTAAAAAATCACTTACGGGGATTCAAAATAGCAGCAACAACAAAAATCGCCTCGCCGCTAAACGGCTCGTGAAAGATGCCCCGCATCGTCATTTTGTCACCCCTCCCCCATTAGCAAAAAAGCTAGAACCGCCCCTGTGTCTCCGTCATTTCACGAAAAGAGATAGGGAAAAGAATATCTAACTTAATGGGCAATAAATATAGTACGTGTGTGACGGTGTGTCCATACATACGTGCATCGGACGATCCAGAAGTGTATACGTTGACTGGCTGCGCCTCGCCCGGGCTCGCCCCGTTGGATTTAGTCAAGCCCACGACCCCGAGCACCAGCGCGGTGATGCTGATGATAGCCAGTAAACCAACCAATAAAACAGTTTCCCTATTCTCTCTCATGATGAAAGTACGGTACACCAAAACCTACGCAAAGACTTTACAGTTAAAACAGAGTTCGACGTGAACAGACCGACAAGCTAGTGTAGAGCTAGTTTTGAAACTGTATAGCCTAATATTATAGAGAGGAATAGAATATCGCGGTTTCAGCGATTATGATTAAACACAATACCTCATACTTCAGTGAATCACAATAAAAAACGCTTTTATGGAGAAGAGAAATCATTTCTGTATAGTTTTATTTATACAACTATAGCTCACTCCCAGATCCCAAATGATTGGTCATGCGCGGTCACGTGTGATTTATTTACTGAACCTTTTCATGGAGTTACTAGCCTATAGTAACTCCATGGCCTATTGCACGCTGTTTCATGAAAAAGCGTGCAATATTTTCCAGTCCTATTGCACGCTTTTCAGTGCGCAGTAGTGCGCCTAGAGGTTAAATCAATCCATGGTGAGCATATGAGCCTATTCTTGCCCCGCCCCCCCCCCCACTCTGGGAACGGGGGTACCGCATGCGTGTTCCCAAAATCTCCGGCTCGTAACAAAGAAAAAGATCTGCCCGTATTGACTTTATACACCAGATTTTTGCTGAAAGGGGGGGGGGGGTGCTGAAAAGGCTCGTATAACAAAGAAAAATATCTACCCGTATTGACTTTACACACCAGATTTTTGCTGAAGGGGGGGGGGGGGTTGCTGGGAACACGCATAATGCAGTCGCGTACTCAGGGGGGGGGATTTGGAGGAAATCCCCCCTTCGTTTTTGTTTTTGTTTTGTTTTTTAATTTAAAATAAAATAAAATAATGCTAATGGTGACCTAAAAAAGTTGACTTTACCCCCCCCCCCCTCACGGAACGCCCCCCCCCCCCCCCCCCCCCCGCTTCTTCAGCGGCTGGCTGAGGCGTTGCGAAATTTTCGGCCCGATTTGAAATTGTTAAAACTCTCCCTTGAAAAAATCCTGCGTACGCGCCTGGTTCTTACAACTCACGAAATACGTTGTAGTCATTAACCCACTCAAGTGTGAATTTGGCGCATCTTCCCTCATCTTCTTCAACCAAGAAATGCTTGTAGCCTGTCATTAAGGACAGGATTGGTGACATCATGGACCTATTACGGATGGACATTCAAAGTGATTCTTTCTCTGATCCAATGATAGTCGCAGCCTTCTGATTATGTGCATCTTAATGAGAACATTCAGCTGTTTTAACAATAACGACTGCGTAAGCATTTTCGGTCATTGACAAAGGAGCAGTTTCCCTCTCTTCGGTTTTGTTTGGATGGTGTGCTCTAGATCTGTAAGATTGTGTCTTAAATAAAAGCATCCCTGCAATGGGGAGCAGCAAAGTTGAAAAGCAGACGATTTTGGTGATATGAAATGTATTATTACTGATTCGCAAACTTTCGCATACACCTACGACCTTATAAAACAATTAGAAGGCCATGATCTGTATCAGCCCTGTGCGTTGTAACTCTGGAATATTATGAGGAAATAGGGGGGAACGGGATTTTCAATCACAACCCCCAAATCCAAAAATAACCTCTATCTGGTAATATCAATATGTTTCTCAAAATAAAATACATGTTCAGTACACGGAACAACAATTTCCGAAGCCAGAACTGCACATCGATTTTCATTGATTTAGGCAAGTAATTATCTTCTGCGCGTGTAGATTAACATGTGTAAAATCACTATCTTGATTCTGTCCCGGATTTTGGCGGTGACCATGATAAGATCAAAGTGAAGAAACATGAACGGAATGTTATTGAGACGACATTGACGGAGACAATCACAATGAATTCGTTAAGAAACCGATGAATGTCCATCCGTAATAGGTCCATGGGGACATAAAATCGATAAAAGAACATCATAATCAGATTATCCGACCCCGGAAACTCGGATGGCGGTCGTTTTTTATTTGGCCAATATGACCAGCATTGCAGCCCCAAGGAGACCTGCAATTGATACAAGAACATCATAATCAGATTCTCTGACCCCGAAAACCCCCTTAATATCTATAAACTTTTATCATACTAGCCCTTTTCCTTTTGGAACTACACAGAGGTGGCAGCCATTTTTGGAATTGACCAGCATGACCAGCATGACAGCCCCAAGGATCCCTCAAATCGATGAAAGAACATCTTAATCAGATTCTTTGACTCCGAAAACCCCACACCGGACTTATGCTGAAAGGGTGGGGGGGGGATGCTTGGAACACACATATGCGTACCCTAAATAACACGGGGGGGGGGGGGCTTTGGACACTTCACCAAACTATTTACATTCACCCTTTATTGTCTGATAAGATTTCTATATTGGAAGGAATCCACTTTACAAACACAAGGGCCCGAATTCTTTTGTTTCGACAAACCTCCTTCTGTTTTTTTACAAACCAAGGTTTGTAAAAACGCGTCGAAACGCGTCGTATGACGCACATAAACCTCGGTTTGTCGACAAACCTCCTTTGTGAATTCGGGCCAGTTGTTGATGAATCGGGCAAACCTCCGACAAGCGTGCGGGTCACTGTGATAAAATTGTTGCTCTAGTAAATGCATGAAAGTTGAATAACTTACTAGACTTGTCTATTCTGGTTGAAACCGAGACTCCAATCGACCACGATGTATTCACTGATTATAATTATGTCTAGATTAATCACTTCACCAATAGATATTTACAAAAAAGCTTTTCGCCGGTATAGCCCTATATAACAATAGGCCATTTTCGTAATGTAACCAAATTTAATACACAAGTCTTTGTGAAGTGCCTCAATACAAATTATTTTATTCACCTGATAAGAAAAACAGTATTTCAATAGTCAGGATGCAAACTGCATAATATGCAGTTTGCATAATATTTAAGTGTTGCTAGGTAGGGCAAGCAAATCCATGTATGCAGTTCTGATTCTGTCTTTTGAAATACAATTATTCTCATCAGGTGAATGAAATAGTTTTTATTGAGGCGCTTCACAAAGACGCATGCATTAAATTTCGTTGCATTACGAAAATGGCCTATTTCTTTGTGACCCGCATTCTAACTATTGAATAGAAAAGGACATAACACGTGTATATCATTAATCATCAGCACGATAAAAAGTAGCTCCTGTAATCGTAAATAGATGAATAACTGGCATTATTCGTATTTAGGTTATTCTATTAAAAGAACGCAGATTGTGTATCACTATGAACATGACTGACAAAGAAAGCGGACAAAATATACAGTTCTTCAGGTAGACAAAGGAACACCCCTTCACTGCTATTATGTTAAAATATGTAGAACAGGTGAATATGCATGTGACACCTGTTCTACACATTTTTACATAATAGCAGTGAAGGGATGTTCCTTTGTCTACCTGACGAACTGTATATTTTGTACGCTTTCTTTGTCAGTCATTTTCATAGTGTATGGTACTAGAGATACTGCTGTGCTGGGTCATCCTCAGTTAAGCACCGGGTTTCAAGCATTCTTTCTTGAATGTGAATGAATTATGCAAACACTCCGCTACACGCACATAAAGATGACATCACGTGATACCACCTCGCTAGCCAATCACCGTGCGTTAAATGTCACCTGCGGCTGACACCAGCGGGTGTGTTCTTTGCAACCCATATTCATTCTAGAGATTCAACGCGGCTTAGATTGTTGGGGCTCTTGATGATCTTCAAGACTTCTGTTCGGTGAGTTTCAGGAACATGTACCGCTTTAGGATCGGTCTTCAAATCAATGTCTACTTTTAGTGTCACGCCTATATATCGTTAGATGTTTTGTACATGCATGTTTGTACTCAAATTACACTTGGCAACTCGGGCAAATGTGTCATCAAGTCTTTGAATGTTATTTCTATCCCCCTTTCAGGTTAACGGTAAGCCGGCAGCTAAAAGATCAATTCTTTGCTAAGTATACCCAACCTTCAGGAAAATGTTGGAATTCATTTCTTAATGATTCATGTGTATAATCTACATAGATTTTTCTTTAATTGGTACATGCAATGTTTCCTGAACATGATTATGTAATATTAATTGTACCGTTTGCCAGATCACCAGTGAACTTCTGAACGTGAAAAGAACAAGAGAGAGGTTGGCTAGATAACATGGATGCCACAAGAGTTGTGAGGCGGTCGCGTGTACTTGGTAGGATCAGGGATAAACTCTCATATCCCTGGTACTTGGTATAGGATATCCAAATGTGAGCAGGACAAGGAGAGCAGAGGAAGACGGCCAGCTGTGAGGAAAAGCATGGTGGGCAACACATCCTGCAGCACAAGAACACTATCTACCCTACATCCAGACAGTCAGTCGATGAGGGTCCTCTTGTGCACATCGGCAGAAGAGATGGCTCGAAGATTCCCATTTTCAGACCTAGGTCAAAAGGTCGACGGCTGGCTCTCGTCGGGAAAGGACTTACGACCTCAGTGACCTCCAATCAGGGACTGCGATCTGAAGGTCGAGGTCCTCAACGATGAACTTCCCGTGAAGGTACCTACCAATACGCCCATAGATGGAGCACCGTCAGGTATGGCATGATATTCAATTACAATATTGTCTAACAAGAATACACTTCAACTGGGATGTTTTCATATGAGTTCTATATATGGGGATCAACTTCTCTTTAATCACAATGAAAAATAACGCTTATGTTGAGAGATCACAGACTAGTGACCCAGTCAATTTGTAAATCAGTATAATAGTAGAAACGAATGAATGTGATTCTGTTTCTTAACTCTAGAACATGTAAAGTCTGCACATTTATCTGAGATGTAAAGGTCAAGAAGTGACTTCAATGAATTTGTACTTGATTTGCGAAGAGTTAAAAAAATGAATGTTAAAACATTGCGCATGGCGAGGAAGCCGGTTTCATAAGATTCTGAAGAAAGAAAAAAAAAAACAATTGAAAAACAAATGGACAACAACATTTAGTGTGATTGCCCTTGAGGCTAAGGCAAAAGTAATTCGAGTCCTTTAAGAAATATTTCCGTCTCCCAAAGACATGAATGAAATTAAGAAATTCAGACATCAAAGAGGGGGACGGGATGAGACTAATTAGTATAGTTACATAATATAATCAAAGCTATATAAAGAAAACATACAAATATGAATCCACACTTTGTATGGATTGCAATGGCCAAACACTTCCTCTTTTGTATGTTTTTTATTTTATTAATAACACAAAATTTAATAATATCCATAAGATTTGTACTTTATACTTCAGCATGTCAAATCTCCGAGGACGACATGATATTCCTGATGCGAAAGGTCAACTTCAACGATTTCTTTGACGTATCCATGGAAACTGATTCATCATTGATCTCCCGTGATGGATACCAGGCCGGTGATATTCTGTTTTATCTAACGGTAAGAAACACGGGGCGTAGTCGAAGTGAAGGGCGGGGGCAATGAGGCAGGTGCCTCCACAAATATACAGTGCCCTCGATAACCCAATATTTTTTTCTTCAAAATAGAAATATCCGTGATGGGGGGGGGGGGGGGGGGGAGGGGGGGGGGGGGGGGGGGGAGGGGGGGGGTCACTTAAAATTAAAAGATTGCAATTTCGAAAAGCGTATACAATGTGATACATGCGATGTTCAAACAGTTTAATTCATGATTAAAGAATGCAAGATTATTAAATGGGAATGATTATTTACAAATTATATGAATCGTGTTCATAACTATTGCAACACAAAGTTCTAAGACCGGTTGAAAATGCATTCGTCATTATCCATTGATTTATAATGCGAGAGAGTTGTGATTGGTTGGTTGTAATACTTTGTGAAATTGTTACTTTGTGAAATGGAAAGTTTTTCTCTATTTTCCGTCTGAACCAAATATTCCAGGAAAGAGAAAGTGTTGTTGCTACGAGGAGTGCATCGATCTCACCTACTGTGGATCCATTACATGGTGAAATACTGGTCGACTGGCTTATAGATGTACAAGTAAGCATATTGCGAATGTCATTTAACTGGCTCATGTAGTTGCTATTTTTAAAAGTTATGTTCAGGTTTTTATTAGAAGATCTCGCCATGTTAGCAAGTCCAGGATTTTTGTCAGTTGGAGTCCATGTTCGAGAATACAAACGTTCATAATATTAACTTTATAAGCATTATATAATATTAATATTTGTCTGATACAAGCTCCAGTATTGCTATTAACTTCATACAATAATCAGATATAATGAATATTAAATGTTTCATGTGCAGGTCGAAAGAGCCGGGACAAAAAAGGTTGAACTTGCTCAATTATCGAATAAGATCGAAGATAACGAGAAATAGAAACATATCAACATATTTTTGCATTGAATATTAAAGCATTTAATTATAATAAGTAATCCATTTAAAAAAAGAGATCATTTTGTGGTACATGCATTCACTTTAATTTGAGGGGAACGAGAAATGGCATATGAACTGTGAACTAAATGCAAAACAACATATTTCTAAGAAACATTAATTTGCAGTATTTATGACATTTTGACAGATACAGAAAGTTGTGATAGAGTTCTAACCAGAGATCTAAATACCATTTTACTTGTATTCTTTATTTCAATTTCAGGTTCATCTCGCCCTTCAGAACGCGATTTTGCATTTAGCCGTCGCCGTGATTGATGCTTACCTGTTGAATCTCCTCGCACTGGCCTTCAGCTTTGAGGACTAACCTGTCTCTTTCTCGCCTCAAAGTATGAGGTCTATACGTTCCAAATGTTAGTATTCATATCTAGGGACGTCAAACTATTTTTGTTGGGAGGGGGGGGGGGGGGGGGGTGGTTGACGGGACGGCGTGCAAACGATTTTCAATAAAGCAGGCGCGGATCTACGGGGGGGGGTTAGGGGGTTTAAACCCCCCCCCCTTGGGCGGCCCAAAAAAAAAAAAAAAAAAAAAAAAAAAAAAAAAAAGAACGCACGCTGGAGAGAAACCCTTTCAAGTGCAAATATTGTGAGAAGATATTCAACTCATCTGGTAACTTAACCAAACACATGATAACTCTGGATATAACTGTGTATTTAACTGTTACTTGATTTAAAAAGACGTTATCATGCACTGCTTTTTATGGTCTCCATTGTGTTAATAGATGCCAGGAAAACATCACTTACGGGGTTCAAATAAACACCCCCAAAAAAATCGGCTCGCCGCTTCGCGGATCGTGGACAAATTTTGGTCAACCCCCCCCCCCCCCCCCCCCCCCTTAGCAAAAAGCTAGATTCGCCCCTGTAAAGTCTTTGGTAGATTATCTTTGCCATGACGGTATTGCTGTAAAAATCGAAACTGGTATATCTTCCTGTATGTTTTAGAGAGGGAGAGGGAGAGAGAGAGAGAGAGAGAGAGAGAGAGAGAGAGAGAGAGAAAGAATAGAGAGAGAGATGAGAGCGAGGAGAATATTAGAAGGGGGTCGACCGACGAGGGGAATGATAGGCCTAAAAGGAAGCGCCAAAGATGACCCCCTCCTTTTTTTCCCCTTCTTCGTCCAATATCCTTGCAAGAATGCATTCACCTGTTGCGTACATAATTCTCGGAGGAGTGCTGAATTATTGATTAGTCTGTAGATATGTACCCCTTTATGACAACACACCACGTCTTGATCCAAGCTTTCATTTATTTGCAATTAAAGGCATCGAAGAAGAATTGAAAGAAATTATTCATATTCTAAATTTTGATAAAGATAATGTTCGATTACTTGGTTATTTATATTGATTGACGTTAATTTTGCCAGAGGTATCTACATCAAAATTCTGTCTGCGGTCTGATCTCAAAGACTAACAATATTCAAGATGGAAGCCTCCAGTGAACAATCCGATCGTGACCAAGAAACCAAGAATCTTCGTGTTGTGGAATTTTTCAGTGGTGTTGGAGGTCTTCACTGTGCCGTGAAAGGTATTTGATCAATTTTAAGTTATTTAGTTAATGATATGGGATGGTTTCTAGTTTTTCCGGGTGAAAATAACAAGGGCATACACCAAATTTCTTTACAACGTGCCCACTTACTGCAAATTGTGTCGACTTTTTAATTGTGCCTGACTGACAATGACTGCATGCACCTGCACGTGAACTGTACATGTACGTGCTGAAATGTCCTGAATGTGTGTCTTTCTGTGACTTCTCTTTCCTTTAGGGGGGGGGGGGTGGAAGGACCATGAGTAGCAACCAAAAAATTACTTTTTTTTTTACGAGGGCTCTTTTCAGATTTTCCCTTAAAAAAATAGCCCCCTTAATTATTTTGCGGTGGCTATTTTGGAGCTCAGGGGGGCTTTTTTTTTTTAAAGGTTGTATTTTTTTTAAACACGGTTTTACCTAATTAAATTCCAAGCAAAGGCAAATATAGATACAATTGTAGCGTACATATGTCATGTAGAGTATTGCAGACATTCAGATACCCATGATTTATTCACTTTGTGTTAAACATGTGGCTTTATGATTTACATATACATGTAACTAAAACTTGTCAAAAGGAGTGTTTTGTTTAACTGTTCGTTTTTCATATCCTAAGAAAATATTATCACTGACACGCGGGCTACTTTTCCCCATTGCCTAAAAAAAACCAAGGGGCTACTTCCTTAAAGCCATATTGTAAGCTGTAACAATAAGTTGTGTTTTTCCTTAGCCATCATACTACTAGCAACCAAATTGGTAGGTAATATGTTATTTAGTCTTTTTTTCTGTCCCAAATTTAATTGTTATCATGGACAATGCAATCCCATTAAAAAAAAATGTAGACCAACTCCCTTTAAAATTGTGTTATTTAGACCATTTATAACCATTAAATGTGAGTAAATATTTTTACTGTTGTCCCACATACCGATGTAGGGTCTATTTGTTATGCCGAAACATGCAAAATCATGGCCTTATTTTTTTTTTATAGACTCTAATTCTAAAGGCCAAGCCAAAGCTAGTTTCATTTCGTAGACAGAAATTGATGTCATCATCACTCATGACAATTGGCCTGGCATCGATCGTATATAAATAATTTAATTTAATTAAACAGTTGTAAGAAAGATTCTGAGGAGTAGGAACATCCTTTATATATTTATTTACGGTTTTTTTTATAACAAAATTCAATTTCTGTGTACGAAACTTGCTTTATACCGATTTTACAGGAAAAAATCCGGCATTGATTTTGCACGTTTCGTTATTACAAATATATCAGTATGTGGGACAACAGTAAAAATATACTCGCATTTAATGGTTTTAACTTATAAATAACACAATTTTAGACGGAATAACATTTTTTTTTAATGGGATTGCATTGTCCATGATAAAAATTAGGGCCAGAAAAAGACTAAATAAACATATTACGTACCAATTTGGTCGCTAGCAGTTGAGCTCTCGTCACTCGCAAATACTTATTTGCTTCATACAAGGAGCGTGCGGGCGCGCGCTGGAGCTGAGCTAGTACGTTTCTGTGTATTGTGAACGTGTGCGAACTGCGTATGCATTCATGCTGTGCACGAAACTACATCGGGGCCGGTGGCCTGTCCGGCCGCCGGGAGCTTAGGCGCAGGCAGGCGGATACCGCTGTAGATCTAGCTACAGTAGATACGACCGCCGATCCGCTGCAACTCACAAAACTTTTAAAATGTTGATGGAAGTTTCTAGTTTTGGAGTTGGTAGTTGGAACGGAGATTTCACTCAGACACATCAATAAATTGGTTTATTAATTCATAGGGAATATCAATTTATGGCGGGGGCGATTTTTCAAGATATATTGATTTTTTTTCGCCCTCGTCTTGATTTTTACCGTGGCGATTTCAGAGGTTTAGGGGGCGAATCGCCCGTCGCCACCGTGTATTTTTTTCGTTGATGAGTAGGCTGAAGTTGGCGATTTTTAAACTTTATTATGACAATCTTAGTCAAGTTTGTTGCTTCTTTTCAATTTCATATTTCTTTTGTTTTAATATTTTTGACCATCATATTGATTTATTGTGACTTTTTTGTGTCCATCATTTTTTGAGTTTATTATAAAATTTCTTTATTCTGGATCTCTCTTGTATCCTTCCTCCACTGAATGATGCTTGTACTGTAGTAAAAGTTCACTCAGCATTTCCTGTTTTCAAAGGCAAAGCATGCACTATGAATATGACGGACAAAGAAAGCGGACAAAATATACAGTTCCTCAGGTAGACAAAGGAACATCCCTTCACTGCTATTATGTAAACATGTATAGAACAGGTGAATATGCATTTGACACCTGTTCTACACATTTTTACATAATAGCAGTGAAGGGATGTTCCTTTGTCTACCTGAGGAACTGTATATTTTGTCCGCTTCTTTGTCAGTCATGTTCATAGTGTGTATATTTTGTCCGCTTTCTTTGTCCGTCATGTTCATAGTGTCTGCACCTATTTCACTGGAGATTAAAAGAGCAAAGACATTCGTTTCTATTCAGCTCCAGTCAGCAGTCATCACTTGTTTTCTGCTATTGCTACGTCACACTATGAACATGACGGACAAAGAAAGCGGACAAAATATACAGTTCCTCATTCTACCTTCAACAATTGCTATGGTAGACAAATGAACGTCCCTTCACTGCTATTATGTAAAAATCTGTAGAACAGGTGTCACATACATATTCACCTGTTCTTACACCACTTAGTAGGAAGTTTTCAGATAGGGAACATGTTTTCTACCGAGCTCGTACCATACAGTTTAGGACATTTATCAGCATCTTCATTCCCTCGCACATTTTTTCTTCATATCAACTTTCACTGGCAAGCAGCAGATTGGACTCTTTAATTTTATCAACAGCATTCATCTTTGTTGTGGTTTTTATCGAAGATGACATACCCAGGAACTTCAGGAAGCTTTTGTTTTTGTTTTTATTTCACTGGTTCAAACAACCAATCTACTGCAGGATAAACAATCCAGAAGATATCATAGCCCATTTTTTCTCAAAATATGATTCCCATACCAGAGCTCAAGATTAGCTTTAAAGATGTTCATGCGTGGGTATATAGTCGTTTGTGAAGTAGGCAACTTGGCGATCACTTCATAACACTGAGCCAATGGGTATTACGCTCCTGTGCGTATGTCCGTCTGCTGCCCTCTATATACCCACGCTTTAGCAACTTTAAACTTTTACCGGTTAACCCAAATTTGCCATTTTCTTTCTTTATATTCCAGCCTGTGGAGTCCCGTGTACTGTGGTAGCTGCTGTGGAAATCAACACGGTAGCGAATGCTGTATACCAACACAACTTCCCTGAAGTCGACCTCATGCAGAGAAACTTGGAGGTTAGCATTTCAAGTTTTAACATTTTCAATACTGTAAGAGTTAAAATTAGACTTATTCCCTACTTGTATTTTTCACAATTCACTATGAACATGTCTGACAAAGAAAGCGGACAAAATATACAGTTCCTCAGATATACAAAGGAACATCCTTCACTGCTATTATGTAAAAATGTGTAGAACAGGTGTCACATGCACATTCACCATTTTACATAATAGCAGTGAAGGGATGTTCCTTTATCTACATGAGGAACTGTATATTTTGTCCGCTTTCTTTGTCCGTTATGTTCATAGTGATTACTCTTCGTTTCTCTAGTCTCTTCTCTCTATACATATTCATTTCACATCATTTGCATATTCATTTCCTCCATTCATCTCCTCCACATACCAACTCTTAAAACAGGTGGTAAGTTCTCTTCTCATTTACATATTTCCACCTCTTACTTATCGATGGTTCTCTTCTCCTTTTCCTTATGAATATTCAGTTTTATTCTTAAATCCTATTTTGCTATTGGTTGATAATGTATTTCATTTGAATATACTTTACATGAGGCTGCACATGGACAGCATACTACATGTACAATAAAACACATGCAGAGCTGGACTGGACTTACACTGAGTGAGTGGTATTAATTTAGGGCTCAGTTTTGATTATAAGTTGGAGACTTGGGAGAGAGGATTTGTGAGTTTGGCAGTGGTTTGAATGATTGGTGTAATACAATGGTTATTGGCAAGAGATTATTTATTAGTTTACAGTACCAAAGGCAAAATCTACCTTTAAATAAAAAACTGTCTTGTGTAAAGTTGCATTATTTGATAAAAAAGTGCATAGAACTTGGAAACAATATTGGTGAAAGAGTGTATAGAACGTTATCAATATTGGTGATGTCTGTCTCTCTCCGACTCTCTTTCTCTTTCTGTTTTTTTCTTAAATATGCCTGTCTCCATCTCTTACTGTTCTCTCCCCCCCCCCTGTCATTCTCACATTATCATTTACATTGATAATGACTGTTTCTTTTAGAGCACTTCCATTTACCTAAGTGGCTAAAGGGCTTCCTGTATATCATTATTGAAATATAGACTGAATTTAATATGATTATGTAGTTAACAGGGCACAAAGGGGTACTTTTTGTGCCCTTGCTCATTTTTGGGCGCTTTCTAACTTCAAATTCTCTTCAAATTTTGTATAATTGCAGGGATTTACCGTAGATGACTTTGCTTCGTTTGATGCTGATATGTTTGTAATGAGCCCTCCTTGTCAACCATTCACAAGGTAAGAAATGGACGCAAGGACGTAACTCCATTTTGGCCATTTTGCCGAAAAAGTGGTTTATGTGTCACTGAGCCCTAAGGACTTAAGTCTATGTTTCATTGACTTCAAAGGGTGTGGGGTGGAGTAATAAGTCGTTTTTCTGAACATTTTGATTCAAAAACTCATTTTGGCAAAATATGGAGTTACGTTGCTGGACCTTCAAAATCATCTTTTTTGAGGTGTTGTGGTACAGTGGATGCGTCTCTAGACTATGAACCACGAGGTACAGGGTTCAAATCCCTTTCACAGCACCAATGCCCTTTGGCAAGACATTAATCTACATTTGCCATACTCCACCCAGGTGAGGTAAATGGGTTTGTGGTATGAATAATTGTCCTTACAATGTTAAAGTGCTGAAATGGTAGTTAGTTGCACTAAAGCCAGGGTAATGATAATGGAGCGCCATGAGTGCTTTATAGGACTCCAACATTATTTCATAGCTGCCAACCATTCCTATTTTTTAGTCTTCAAGCTACTGTTTTGAACCATAGTTTCCTCTCTTTTTCTGAAATATTCTGTGTGAAAAGTATACAAAACAGACTGCATTCTTAATTTCCCCTTGAGAGGTTCATAACTTTTGCGGTATATTATTATTAATCTTGGTGTTACTGTGTTGGTAAACTGTACCCCCGATTATAGAGGGAAAGGAATTTAACACTTTGATTTCTTTCTTCACCTCTGTGCATGATTGCTTGTTTGCCGCATGTGCAGTTTGCCACAAAACAAAAGGCACAAATTAAAGAAAGTATTGCTTTGTGCAACACAATGGCTTTGCAAAATGTCTCAAAATTAGCTCTATGTCAACCCTTTTAACACTGGTATAGATTCATATCGCACTGGAAAAACTTAAAGACCATATCCAAACTGAACTGTTTGTTAAATGGCACTTGGCTGGAATACTCCCCAGGGAGAGGAGGAAGTGCATATAGATGTACTGTGTGCTGACAAGCCTGAATCTGATGTCTTTGGTAGTGATACATATATAAAGCACTTTGAAATATTGTTTATGTATTAAGCGCTATATGTATTTGTATTTGTATTATTATTTGTTGTTATTCATAAAAATTTAATTTCTTGAATCTCTTTTGCCAGAGTTGGATTGAAAGGAGACAAGAACGATGCCAGGACAAACGCTTTCTTCAACATAATGAGGAACCTTGCTGAGTAAGTCTATTTCTTTTAAAGGCCATCTGTACTAGTTTACCCAGAAGGGACTAGACCACACAGCGTGGTCACTGACAGGTGGCTATCTCATCAACTCAGCTCTCAATTAACATAAGAAAAAGTGGATCATGGGGGACCAACAGGCACCGATTGGGGAAGTTTTCTATATAGAGGAAGCAAGTAGATACAAGTAGTACAGTGGGGCTTTAAGTTTGTATCGTCTGTTGAGAGCCAGAAGGGTGATAACTCCATGTTTAAAACATATCAGATAATGTCCTTTTTGCTGTCTAAAAACATATATTTATTTTGATACTGCAATTTTGCTTCTCTGCAATGAAAGCAACTTCATGTATATAATGTGTAATTGTTTATTAGTAATCAACCAAGAGCCTTTTGAGGACCTTTTTCTTAAAATCTTAAGCTCACTGCACATTATGGATTGTCCTGCAATCTGTTTTAAGGAAAGTGGCAATTGTATTTAGTAGATCTCTCTCTCTTTCTCTCTCTCTCTCTCTCTCTCTCTCTCTCTCTCTCTCTCTATCCCTTCCCTTAATTCTACTCTCTTCTCATATCAGAGCTCTCCTCTTTCTTCACAAGTTCTCTTCTCTCTCCTGTTTCGAGATCTAATTCTCTCTCATTTCCTCTCCTGTCCAATATGGCTCCATTTCTTCACTTCCCTTTTCTGCTCTCTTCTCTTCTTTCATTATGGATCAGAGTGACTTTAGGCATACTCTCTTAAGTCTTCAACTGTCAAATTTATGAAAAGATGCCACAGATATCATTTTCCTGATTTAGCTTCTAAATAATAATGAGAATAGTAATTCAACAAGTAACCATTTAGATTAGTAAAATTAAAACCTTACATAATATTCCATCTTCACAGAAAAATGTCCTTATTTTTAAAGATACTATGACTTTTTATGAAAATGCATTTGATTCCTAAGAAAATGAGTCACATAGAATTTGTTTGATTGACCCGCAATTTGGAGGGGTGCAGAAAATTGTTTGCATATTTTTAAGACAGAGAGTATAGAGATCTTAGGGAAGCAGATGGCGTTGCGTAACATTTCATAATATTTGGAATGCCAGAGGGGATCTGTGCATTGAAAAGGACAGCTGTTGATGGATTTGATGGCTGGAGAGGGTTACATTTCTTGTTTTTAAGCCAAGTTAATCTTGAATATCTTTCCCTCAGAAATTCTTTTGAGACAGTATCTCCATTCATTACAGCTTCCTGCTTGTTAATTTACGCTTAGCTTTCCACTCTGTCATGCTTCAGGACACTCCTGACCTACATTCATCACCTGATGTCTGTTGAGCTCTTGGCTTATATTGTTCTGTCCCTATTCATCCTGTACCCATTCAACATTGCTTGCCATAGCACCAACACACCACACACATTCTCTTGGCTCTTCAACCCAGCTCACTATAGACACATGGCACTCTATCTTTCCTCAGGCCTTCTATTGGTTCCTTACTTCAGGTACAATCTTGTGATTGGTTGTTATTGTTTCATGGACTGCATGTCAGCCATCTTGGCAGCCATTTTGAAGATGTATTAAATATAGCAGTGCAGCTCCAGTCATCAATCATGTCAGACTAGTTTTGTCTTGTGTGAGTCTTTCACTAACAACCAGAATTTTACTGCATTGAAATCTTCTAGCCAAAATAAAAGCCACATCGATAATTAATAAGGTAGGTTTCACTAGGCATTTATATTAAGTGAATTTGAGAGTTGATAGATGTAATTTTTGATATTCTATTAAAACCCTCTTGTACTTGTGTTTTATTTTACAGAATGGCCAAGAAACCGACCTATTTACTGGTGGAAAACGTGAAAGGATTTGACACATCGGAAACAAGGTATACTACATTCAAATGGGCAACATTTCTATTATTTTAGTAGATTCAAAGGAAAATTAAAAAATTGTCATGCCATTGCATTTGAAATGTTGATTACAATAGTAAACATGAATGATTGTGTATTTAAGGTATGGGATCTTCAAAATTAGTGTATCAACTTAATTCTCTTAAAATCATAGTTAATGAAAAGCTCTGCACACATTATGGAAATATTAATTTACAGCACACATAGCTGCATTACTATCCTGGCTGTGTATTAAAACCTGTTCTATTGATTCTCAACATTTCAAACACCACTGTACAAAACTTGACTGATTTCACTCAAAATCGTTGCTTTGGTGACAATTGACAACACCTAAAATAGCAGTAAAATACAATTTTTTCAACTTACCGATGTTAGAAAGAATAATTCAAAAATTCAAATCGTGAGTCTACTGTCAAACTTGATGACAGCCACATCGTCTTTATTGTGTGCATTTGTGTGTTATTGACTATTCATGTGTCATAGTGTATTGACTTATTCATGTGTGCAATTGCTGCCTATTAACACGTAATGCAGTGCTAGAGGTCAATATGCAATAGCATCGACTCTCTGCTTTGCTGGAGTGGTTTACAGTAAGATATGGCTTTAAAAGTTGGTGTAAGTCAAATTTCTTCATTTTTTACTGTTGGATTTCTATTTCACAGATCACCAAATAAACATTGGTATTTTGATTTAAAAAAGTGTCTTTATAGACTCTAAAAAAGTCTAAGAAATTGTATTGATATGACCTGTAGCAATGTTCAATTGAGGATTCATTCAGTTTTTCAATCTTTGTCTTTGTTTCATAGAAACTTTCTTGTGGAGACTCTTCAGAAGTGCAATTACGTCTTTCAGGTAATTATTTAATAATTAAAAAAAAATAATTGGAGGTGAAAATCATTTTTCTTATTTGTGCTTTGGTGTGATGAGAATGTTGATTAACTAAATTTGCTAATTTTTAAGACAAGCCAAATGATCTATTAATCATTCAAAGTAATGAATTGTAATTTTGATTTTCATGATTCATTAAAGGTACTATGTCCCATTTGCAGGCAAAAAAAATGAAAAGGTTAAATTCCAACAGCATTTGAAAGATAATACTAATTTAGAACTTCCCTAAAACAGGGGGGCTTGAAAATGTCTTAAAGTGGGAAAATAAGGACTATTTGTTGTCAAATCAACAACAGTTATAGAGCCAGTAAGTAATGGTCTGATTTTCAGACCATTGTTTCGAATGATCGTACGTTTTTTGCTGGGCAAAGATTCAATCAGTTTAATTTTGGCCATTACAAGAAGTGGGTTATTGATGTAGACGAATGCTCATGTACCCTTTACAGCTCATTGTATGTATCTTATTACCAAAGAAGAAAAAAAGCCAGTCAGTCACTCAATAGTGTCTGACAGTGAAGTCTAGCAAGTAAACCGGTTTCCTTGCCTAATTTGAATATTAGGACACTGCTAATATTCAAGTTTTACAGATAGGACATACATGACATATTCATAATTCCTGCAAAGTTCTACAGCATTTGAGGTTGGCTGCAAAAGGGACATAGTATCTTTAATACCCATGATAAGAGTGATTACCGTAGAGGTGTCATAGTTGAGTGGTGAAACTTAGCACTTGACTTAAAAATTCAAAGGTTGTGGTTCGATCCTTACACGGCTCTATAATGTCTTTTGGCAAGGCATTAATCTACATTTGCCACTCCATACCCAAGAGAGAAATGTGGACCTCGTAGGATGATAGAAGCCTTTGTGTTAGTAATTGCCTATGCCCCCACGCCACGGAGACCATATGGAAGGAATACTCCCCGGGGAGTGGAGACGGTACACATTGTGCATGAATGAATCTGATGACTAAGTTAATGATATCATATCTGTAAAGCGCTTACAGACGGTGTATTGTATTAAACACTTTATCAAATCAGTTTATTATCATTTTACCCTGTTTCTATTAATTTATATCGGTTAGTAATTGATTTGATTGGCTGTGATCACATGTTTCATAGAGTTGCTGCAGTTATTGATAACCATTTTAAAGAAAATGGGCTTAAAATATGGTAAAAGTATGGGATATCTGCTATACCGGTACTCGCATTTATTTGCATTTAGTTAACACCCTGTGTATTTGAAGTTTCCTCTATTTATCAGAGTTTTTCTTTTTGAATGTTACAGGAATTCCTACTATCACCTATGAATATTGGCATACCCAATCAACGTGTACGCTACTTCATGCTTGCCAAACAGCGCCCTCTACAGTTCAAAGAGGAACATGGCACTCAACTAGTACAGCACAGAGTGAATATGCCTTTAATGCCAAATGAGATAAAGGAAACTAGCAGACTGGTTTGTGACAACTCTATGGTGTCCTCACAGGAGCAGACAAATATGGAATTAACAGAGTCACGTGAAAGAACAGGGCAAGATGAATCTAGTATGGTATCCCTGAATGAGCAAAGTATTGAAAGAAAAACAGATGAGCAGCATTTGAATGAGAAGGAAAGAACAGATAATGTGAAGAGTGGTAGCTGTGAAGATATGGTGTCTTCAAGTGAACAGAATGAACAGGAAACGGGTGAGGATGATGAGAGAAGGAAAATAGGCGACTACCTTCAGGCCGATTTGAGTGAAGAGTCTATGGCGGAGTACCTAATACCGGACAGGATTTTACTCAAGTATGTTAACGTGATGGACATAGTGACGGTGGAGGATACAAAGACCTGCTGCTTCACAAAGGCGTAAGTAGCTACAGTACCAGTCACTATGAACATGACGGACAAAGTTAGAGGACAAAATATACAGTTCCTCATTCTACCCTAACAATTGCTGTGGTAGACAAAGAAACATCCCTTCACTGCTATTATGTACAAATGTGTAGAACAGGTGTCGCATCCATATTCACCTGTTCTACACATTTGTACATAATAGCAGTGAAGGGATGTGCCTTTGTCTACCACAGCATTCGTTGAGGGTAGAATGAGGAACTATATATTTTGTCCTCTTTCTTTGTCCGTCATGTTCATAGTGAGTATTTATGAGGATGATGATAATAATGATATATTATTTATTCAAAATTGCTTCTGATGATTAACTCACTCTGTTCACATTGATATGATTATTATTATTCATGTCTTGTTTACCCATGCCGGGGATAGCCTCAACAGTATTACAGTTCTCCCTGAGCCCCTGCAAACATATTATTTCCCCGGCTTGAAGATGACAATGAGAATTCACATTTCACAGAATTATGTAAAAGTGCAGGCTCTGTCAATTGAAAAGCACTACATCAGTTGAATTTGATGATGATGATAATTAATGATTATAAATATCAGAGTAGAGACATTTAAGCAAGTCTCTATAGCATTTCTGTGACATTTATCCATTAGAAATTGACACAGAACAGACACATTTGATTAATTTTTTACTAACATGTACAGTATGTACAGTGTTAGTAATAATTTGTTTCTTCTTCCTGTTGCAGATAAAGGGAAATGGAGACAACAGAACAAGGAGATGGCATATCGACCTAAAACTGATCTATCTTTTAATCTCTTTTATGTCTACATGTAGGTATGCATACTATGTGGAAGGAACAGGATCCGTTCTGCGCACTGATCTCTCGGCTGATGTAAGTTTCCTTTCAGTCACCTTAGACTTTTCCAATTTTTGCCTCTTTTAACCCCAAGTCAGAAAGCCTCTCGTTTTATGAAGACAAAGTTCCACATTCTACTAATTCGGTGAAGTTCGAACCCTGTCTAAGATTGCAGTTATAGCTGCAAGCGGAAACCATTCATTGTGTTGTGCCTTGTGGTTCATGTTATTTCATATGCAAGTTAAGAGGCAAAATAAACCTAAATAAATAAACAAAATTAACTGCATCATTTAAATGTTGACATAAAATTAAAACAAAACAGTAAAAACTCAGAAATGTAAGTATCATTAATTATAACACACTAATACATTTTAATAAATTATTTAAAAATACGAAAAAGTACAATAGATATAAATATTTTAAGAAAAAAAGGATATCAAGACAAAAATTGTTATACTTTTAAGCTCAATGAATAATTCATTAGATCGCATTAGATCGCACGTCTTGCTCTGCCTCCTCGGGGTGGACAATTACTGTCATAGTCTGCACTATTCCAGACGTCGCTCTGTACGAGACTCAATTTCAAAGAGAAAATCACATTTCTAAAAAAAAAACGATATTAAGACTAAACTAGATGGAATTTTGACTGCGCGCAGTCGAAAATGATGCCTCCGCCATAGAGCAATTTAAACAAGTTTGGAGTTTAAATCTCCAGTGGTTCTTGAGATATCATGATAACAATCTCAATGTATGGAATTTCATAAGTTGACCTCTGTGACCCTTGACCTTTGACCTACGTGCTCCAAAATCTAATCAGATTGTCTTCCTATGGTGATACACACTATCATTAAGTTTGAAGTTTAAACCTCCAGTGGTTCTTGAGATATTATGATATGGTGATACATACTATCATTAAGTTTGAAGTGAAAATTCTCCAGTGGTTCTTGAGATATCGCGATAACGATCTCAATGTATGGAATTTCATAAGTTGACCTCTGTGACCCTTGACCTTTGACCTACGTGCTCCAAAATCTAATCAGATTGTCTTCCTATGGTGATACACACTATCATTAAGTTTGAAGTTTAAATCTCCAGTGGTTCTTGAGATATTATGATAACAATCTCAATGTATGGAATTTCATAAGTTGACCTCTGTGACCCTTGACCTTTGACCTACGTGCTCCAAAATCTAATCAGATCGTCTTCCTATGGTGATACATACTATCCTTAAGTTTGAAGTTTTTACATCTCCAGTGGTTCTTGAGATATCATGATAACAATCTCAATGTATGGAATTTCATAAGTTGACCTCTATGACCCTTGACCTTTGACCTACGTGCTCCAAAATCTAATCAGATTGTTTTCCTATAGTGATACACACTATCACTAAGTTTGAAGTTTAAATCTCCAGTGGTTCTTGAGATATCATGATAACAATCTCAATGTATGGAATTTCATAAGTTGACCTCTGTGACCCTTGACCTTTGACATACATGCTCCAAAATCTAAACAGATCGTCTTCCTATGGTGATACATACTATCCTTAAGTTTGAAGTTTAAATCTCAAATGGTTCTTGAGATATCGCGCTAACAAACTCAATACAAGGAATTTCATAAGTTGACCTCTGTGACCTGTGACCTTTGACCTACGTACTCCAAAATCTAATCAGATCGTCTTCCTATGGTGATAAATACTATTCCCGAGTCTTAAGTTTAAATCTTAAATGGTTCTTGAGATATTGTGATAACGGTCAAACGGGACGGACGGACGGACGGACGGACGTACGGACGTACGGACGGACGTACGGACGTACAGACGTACGGACGGACAACCCGAAAACATGATGCCTCCGGCACCACCTTCGGTGGCGGAGGCATAAAAATTATCAGGTATTACACCTCACTATGAACATGACAGACAATGAAAGCGGACAAAATATACAGTTCCTCAGGTAGACAAAGGGACATCCCTTCACTGCTATTATGTAAAAAGGTGTAGAACAGGTGAATATGCATGTGACACCTGTTCCACACATTTTTACATAATAGCAGTGAAGAGATGTCCCTTTGTCTACCTGAGGAACTGTATATTTTGTCCGCTTTCATTGTCTGTCATGTTCATAGTGCCTCTAGATCTGCCTCCTCGGCGTCGACAATTACTGTTATAGATTGGACGATGCCACTGGCGGTCGCCCTGTAGGATACTCGGAGAGGGAGCACCACCACGTAGTTGAAGGGCACTCCCTCGCCCACAAAGAGGGATTCCCCACTTTCAAGGATAACCTCGATAGGATATCTGAAAATGAACAAAACGTACATTTAAAAAAACATTATACATATTAGATATATTTAGCAATCATCATCACAAATGATAAATAAGGACCATTTCTCATACATTACAGCTACGTGAAATATTCAGTTTGGATAGCAGTGCCAGGAAATTCATGCCAATCACTAATATATATATCTGATGACACACAAATTTTGATTTATCAAAAATCATTAAAGAAGAACCCCGACAGATTTCTTCATTAAATAATATTTATATCATCAAAAAACTTAAATCCCCCAAAACAAAACGCTCTTATTATTAAGCCAAATCCAGCTTAAAGACCAACTTAAAGCTCAAATGGCTTATTGCTCAAAATGCTCATTAGTATTTAATCATAAACATTTAGTCCCAAACATGCTGTACTGCATAAGGGGAAGGTGCAATTCACAACGATTGATTCCATGTTTAATCAATCTGGTAATTTTGCAGCCTCAATGCAAACACAATTTCTACATATAGCATCATCCTTTCCAAATTACATTCAGTTTCTTCTTGACTCAATATCATTAAAAAACACAAGTTAGAACTTCAATGCTTATCAAACAAAAATGCAAAAGGTATTACAACAAAAAACAGTCCTAGTTCATGTCCAACAGACCAATTAACCTTGCTTTTATACTGTCACATTTAGTTTGACCTTTCCTCTACAGAGCATGTATTTTTTACTGAAAGAAATAAAGATTAATTATCCAAATATAGCAAAACCTACCTCTACACTAGTAGAGGGAGTCACGATAATCTCCTCTCCTCTTTAATCAAGGCAGTTATGGTAACCTTCTTGGAGATTGCATACTCCCTCACTGCCGCCTCTCCCCACAGCACCACCTCAATTCGGCTCCCATCCCCTTCTATCTGAAGAGATTGTCTCGAATACTCGTCTGTTGTCACACACCCTCCTACCTAATATATATCAAGATGAATAATAAAAACAAATTATGATGAAAATAATACTTTACCCCACATTATTTAACAACATCATTTATAACTGAATAACTCAACACTTTCATCTTTAAGCTGTACATCAAACTCCACACAAAATACGAAAAAATAAAACTTACAATAATCTACATGTACATGTAAATGACATTTTCAAAAATTATACAAAAACAAACATGTTCAGCTAAAAATCTATGTCGACATGAACAACATATTAAATACAACGAGTACTATTCAAGCTGATTTAATCGGTTATTTGTGTATATTGTAATTTGTTGTATGTTGGAGGCTTGGCGAATAAAAGTCAATCAATCTATTATTATTATACAGTAGGTTTAGCATCGGGTCCACTTACTTTTGATTTGGGAGTCAAGCGACCACTCCCAGGATATTTCAGGACTTGGGTTATGATGACCCGTTTTCCCTTTTCCATATTCAGAATGGATTCTCTAAGCTTCTCGTCCGTCACATTGGCATTAATATACAGACGGAAGAAGTGAGCTTCAACAGAGCTCTCTGGGCCTCCTCCAGCCGGCGCTGCTTTGCCTGCTTCCATCACCATCCCGTAGATTGTTGCCTCTCCCTGACGTTTTCTAACGTAGAACTTTTCCGCAACAACTATCTTTATTGTAGACGCAATAACATGCACAACCGACTTTCTCAAAGTATGATATGCGTTATGATACGTTAATCATGGACCCTACTACAGATGGACATTTCGATTTTAGGACCGACTTTCTGGAGTACAGACGGAAAAAATGTGCCCCATCGGCATCACCACGTGCAGCCGATCCGGCACTCTCTGGGCCTCCTCCAGCCCCTGATTTGGTAACTGCCTCCTTAACCATACCTGATATTTTTTTTTATTAAATAAAAAAAATTATTCAGATAAAAACATGGACAACATCGTACATAAATATTCATAACAAAGCACTTAATCACATGTTTAGATGAGATCAAATCACATTATATATCTCTATTTACTTGATAGCAGATTGTAAATCAGTAATTATCTTACTCCACTTAGTAATATTCAAATCTGTTGTCTTAGTTTTATTTTCCTCTACTTCTAGTTTATATTTCAACATAAAACACAAAAAATACTTCATATGACTTTGTCACTTTGTCGTTTTCTTACTGCACTGAACTTCTCAGCCAGTTCGCTTTCTCTTCAATGAAACATAACTTAAATGATCATAAAATTAAATTTTTATCGGAGATGTGTGGCAAATCATATGAAGAAGGGGAAGTTTGAGATGTAACAAAAGTACAAATTAAATTCCTTTTCAACCTGCTTCGATGATACCAATCACTTCCTACACCGAATCAACATTACATGCCTGTAAATTTTAGATATGCATAAAAAATAGAGACAAAATATGAGTAAAGGACATATCTTTGAAATGATAAAATAACTAAATAAATAAAAAAATAAAAAAATAAATAAAATGGAAGTGAACATGAATTAGGGGGAAAGAATTTAGTATGCCTCTTCGATAAGAGATGAATCGAACAAGTAATTGCGAAGTGCATTGAGAAATGGGGAGAGAGATCCATCCAGGCACGAATCTCTGATCTTCCTCTGTAAGGTAGTCCCAGAATAGGATGGTTCTGAGGTCACCGTCGTGCAACCATAAAATAATGCTGTCGACAGTATTCACGAACTTATGTTTTCTTGGCATCCCAAGACCATTGTCTTCCCCAACCATTGCGTGTCCGAGCCTAGCAACGATGGGGGCTTTGGATTAAATCTTGTAGTTCCTCCTGTTGGAAGTATGCACGATGTTGCCAGCATACCCGGCTTATGTGCTTTGTTTTTCTCTTACATCTTTGATCAGGTGTTGCATGAAGACACTGATGGGTCACACAGGCCCAAATTCCATCCTGTTGGAGGTTGACAAGATGTTGCCAGCATACACGGCTTGTGTGCTTTGTTTTTCTCTTACATCTTTGATCAGGTGTTGCATGAAGACACTGATGGGTCACACAGGCCCAAATTCCATCCTGTTGGAGGTTGACAAGATGTTGCCAGCATACACGGCTTGTGTGCTTTGTTTTTCTCTTACATCTTTGATCAGGTGTTGCATGAAGACACTGATGGGTCACACAGGCCCAAATTCCATCCTGTTGGAGGTTGACAAGATGTTGCCAGCATACACGGCTTGTGTGCTTTGTTTTTCTCTTACATCTTTGATCAGGTGTTGCATGAAGACACTGATGGGTCACACAGGCCCAAATTCCATCCTGTTGGAGGTTGACAAGATGTTGCCAGCATACACGGCTTATGTGCTTTGTTTTTCTCTTAAAATCTTCTTTGATCAGGTGTTGCATGAAGACACCGGTGGGTCACACAGGCCCAAAGTCCATTCTGGAGGTTGGCACTAACTCTTGTGTAGGCACGATGCTGCCAACAGACCCGGCTGTTGTGCTTTGTGTTTCTCTTTCATCAGGGTAAAGCAATTCAAGGTTAACTTTCTGGAATCTTGGTGTGTATTGATTGAGCCAAGAGGGCACTAACTCTGTGTATGCACGATGCTGCCAACAGCTGTGTTTGCTTCCTCTTACATCTCCTTCGACTGCGTGTTGCTTGAATGCACTGATGGGCTACATGGACCCAAAGTTGATGCTGGAGATTGGCATGTACAAAATCAGCCATGACAACATAACAAAATAACATTCATACATACATACATTCATACATACGTACATATTGATATTTATATAGCACCTGCCGCCTTAACATGAACATGCTCAAAGCGCTTTACATTACTAAATAAAACAGAATAATTAATTTGCTCTCCAAGCGCATACACTGTAAATTTGTTGTATAAAGCTGTGTCACCGGTAAGATATTTAGAAAGCTGTGCACCACATGAACCAATAGGCAACGATAATCAAGGTAGTAAGCCGTCTGGAATCTGGGTGCGCTTGTTTTGAGCCAGAAGGGGCATTAACTCTGTGTAAAAGTGTGCCATTTTGACTCTAAACAGACCATATCAAAATGGCCGCCCCCCCCCCTCCCAATTTTATGATATTTTGCCTCTATTAAATCTTACCAAACAATTCCCCATTTATTCCAGATGTCTTCAGCCTTCTCTTCCGGGTCGTGCAGCGATGACGAACGCCTAGAGAGGCTGAAGGCGCTCCGTCTTAGGTATTTTTCACCCAGAGAGGTTGCCAACTTGCATCACTTCCCACAAGATTTTGGTGAGTGTGTGTATGTAATTTCATTTTTACAGACATGTATCAATCAGAATATTTATGTCTGGGGACCGACCTTTGATGTCGCCATATAAGGGATAATTTTCTCAGTTTTTAAATCTAATCTTGAGCTCTGGTGTGGGAATCGTATGTAGAGAGAACATGGCTTGAACATTCAGTGAAAGATTTGTTGGATTCTGTGAGAATTGATTTTCTATCATTACAAGAACTGAACTTTATCTTTAACCGCCGTCTGGCTGAGTCATTAATAGGTGAAGATAGTCGACTTAGTCCCCCCTGAATGAGTTTCTTAGTCAGGATAGCCTTTATTTAACAAGGAAAGAGATAGCAGAGACTTGCAATAAATAAACGAAGGGCAATTTCAGTAGTACAGGCTGTCCAGTGCCCCACCTATTGCAATGTGCAAACATGACCATAATCCCAATGTGAATTCTATCAGTTATTGAAATTACACTGTACCTTGAAATGCTTTCTTGAAAAGATAATTGATTGTCATTTTCTAATCGCTCTCTCTCTCTCTCTCTCTCTCTCTCTCTCTCCCTTCCTCTCTCTCCCTTCCTCTCTCTCCTTCTCCCACCCTCTCTCTCCTTCTCCCACCCTCTCCTTCTCCCACCCTCTCTCTCCTCTCCTCTCCTCTCTTCTCTTCTCTCCTCTTCTCTCCTCTCCTCTCCTCTCCTCTCTTCTCTTCTCTCCTCTCCTCTCTCTTCTCTTCTCTTCTCTCCTCTCCTCTTCTCTCCTCTCCTCTCTTGTCTTTCCTCTTCTCTCCTCTTCTCTCTCCTCTTTTCTCTCCTTACCTCTCTCCTTACCTCTCTCCTCTCCTCTCCTCTCCTCCCCTCCCCTCCCTTCCCTCCCTTCCCTCCCTTCCCTCCCTTCCCCTCCCCTCCCTTCCCCTCCCCTCCCTTCCCCTCCCCTCCCTTCCCCTCCCCTACCCTCCCCTCACCTCCCTTCCCCTCCCCTCTCCTCTCCTCCCCTCCCCTCCTCCCCTCCCCTCCCTTCACATCCCCTCTCTTCCCCTCCCCTCCCCTCCCCTCCCCTCCCCTCCCCTCCCCTCCCCTCCCCTCCCCTCCCCTTCCTTCCCCTCTCTCCTCTCATTGAACTCTGCAGGTTTCCCAGACTGCTCCACCAAGAAACAAAAGTATAGGTTGCTAGGCAACAGTCTCAATGTGACGCTGCTCGCCCAGCTGATAAGCTACATGGTTGCATGAAAGAGAGTTTAACCCGTTGCCTGTGGGAAGCCGGTGGCTCCAGTATTAAGCGTACAGGAATGAGAGAATTCAGTAGTCATTGGGCTAAAGGAAGATGGTAGTAGAGTTCCATGTGCAGAAGGTCATGATTCACAGACACCAGACATGGTGGAAATACCATTAATGGGTGTACAAGTCTGCACACAGCAAACCCGTGGTCCCATCATAAAATACCCTCTCGTCTATCTGAGTCTTTGGGTGATGGAAATGTTAGATAATGACTTTACCATATGGGGGCAGGGGGGGGGGTGATTGTTGGAAAATGCAGAGCATTGCATAAGGCATGTTGGTCATAAGAACTGAAGGCTTATCCTGGGGATTGACAACACCAGCTATTGGGTAATGACCTGAATGGTGTCTAATTCCCAATTAGAGCCCACTACTATGCGTCTTTAAGTTTAACTGTCAAGCAAATTTTGACAGAGAAAGTAAATAATAACAGGGACAGTGGATAGATACATCTAAAAAACTAACATTTTGAAATTGTACCAGTTCTTTTTATTCCTTTGCTCATTTGTTCATTCATTTTTCCGCTTGTGGGAACGAACACTGTTATAATAATAATTATAGCTCACATTTTAATATAATGTGCCTAATACTTTGTTTCTAGGCGTAGTACATAATATTATCAGCGAAAGTGTGGGTTCCTAATATTGAAATCACCATGGATTATAATTTTCCACAATCATGGATTGCCCAAAGTTAATGAAAATATGGGGGATGGGGGGTTACTTGTTGGATTCTGCAAGAATTCAATTTTTTTTTTGTCCCAACGATAAAAACATGAATGCATAAATGTCTAAATGTAAATCAAAGACCAATATAGATGACACTCATTTGTATAGCTATGTGTGAATTATTTCATTTGAGTTTCTTACTGACTGGCCAATTTATTAGACTTATGAAGATAATACTGTCTTTTAGGAGCCAGAAGGGCATTAAAGGTACTTGTCCCTTTTGCAGCCAACCTCAAATGCTGTAGAACTTTGCAGGAATTATGAATATGTCATGTATGTCATATCTGTGAAATTTAAACGTTAGCAGTGTCCTAATATTCAAATTATGCAAGGAAACCCGTTTACTTGCTAGACTTCACTGTCAGACATTATTGAGTGACTGACTGGCTTTTTCTTCTTCTTTGGTAATAACATACATGAAAAGAGTTGTAAAGGGTACATTGAGCATTTGTCTACATCAATAACCAACTTCTTGTGATGGCCAAGATTAAACTGATTGAATATTTGCGCAGCATAAAACGTATGACCATTCGGTACAATTGTCTGAAAATCAAGACTATTACTTTTGGGCTCTATAGCCCTAAAGTCGATATGACAACTAATCGTCGTTATTTTCCCACTTGAAGACATTTTCAAGCCCCACCTTTTTTAGGGAAGTTTTAAATTAGTATTATCTTTCAAATGCAGTTGGAATTTAACTTTTTCATTTTTTTGGCCTGCAAATGGGACATAATACCTTTAACACAGAGTTAATACCCCTCTAGATCTGGACAGATGGTATCTGTTTGTGGTATTGAGAGTGAGGGTAAGAGAAAGAATGATTTGGGATTTGAGGAAGATAAAGAGAAAGAGAGAGAGAGAGAGAGAGTGGTAGAGGAGAGAACAAAAAATAGTGCGAGATGAGAGATGATATGAGAAAGAGAGAGAGAACTATATAAGGAGGAGAAAAGGAGTTCAAAGGACAGAGGGAATGTATAATTGAAAGGGAGAAAGGAGAGAGAGAACAGAGTGATATCGGTGCATGTGGAAAGAGAGAGAGAGAGACCAGGGGGATAAAGAGAAGAAAGTGTGGGGGTGGGGTGGGGGGGGGGGGGTGGTGGTGGTGGTTGACAAAAATTGTGTGTGTATGAAGACAAATAATAATCCATTAATTTGTCCCATAATTATGCACACACCCATTCTTCTCTTTCTTTGTCACAGAACTAAATCATATAGCAGTTATTCCGTTCTCTAGTTTTAAAAAGAGACCCTATGGTATAGGCCAGTGGCAGGCATGCCGGAAGCAGTTTGGGATTGGGGGGGGGGGGGGGGACAAACATCCAGGGGGCTCACCTTTTACGGGCAGTGGCGTACTGAGGGGAGGGGGGGGGGGCATAAAAAAAATCTCTATCGCAAAACCACTTCTTTTTTTCTTTTTTTAAATCTTTTTTTCTTGGGGGGGGGGGGGGGGGCGAAAATGACCCCCCCCCCCCCCCCCCCCCTACTTCCGCGAATTCCGGCACCTATGGCCAGAGTTCTGTGGGCTTCCAGCCTCTACAATAATTTCCTTAGAAGTTAGAACTGTCACTTCCCGGGGTAATATCTGTAAGTCGCCCTCTTCTTAGCCCTTTAAAGGTAATACAAAGTTTTGGTATGGGGTCATGAATGTAATTGGTTCAAATGAACATATTGGAAGCATATGCGATCCTACAAGATTCAAAGATCGTTGTCGCGGTTGAAATTGAGTCTAAATTTATGAAATTGTAAATAATAAACTCTTTATGTTGTATATAGCTCCCTCGAGCTTAAGGTCAATATATATAATCTATAAAACATTGTTTCTTAATAAACCGACCGATTAGCTATTCCCGTTTTGAAATTATATCACAACTACATATTCTGAGATTTTCATGGTTGCATGCAGCTACCATCGTACGGCCGTAGGCGCTACTTGAAATTTATCAACATTTACCGGGAGCACCGGTAAATTTGTATATTCAGTTTTTCTCGAAAGCAGAAGTGTTTTAGGGGCTATAAATACATCCACAGGGGCATCAAAATATATCAAAATTGTAAAGAATCACTATCGACCCAATTTTCAAAATTTCCGAAAACTTTGTATTACCTTTAAAAGTTCGAATCACATGATCAACTTCCCTCGTGTCGTCACGTGACTGTTCAGGGTTATCCCCGTTGCTTTGCGCAAGTATTTATACCAATTCAATTGAAGACAAATTGTAAATACCTTGAACGACACATAACCTGTGTCTAGTATTATACTATTCTTTCTCAACATGGGATTGATAGTAATTTGGTCGATTTTAGTGAGTTTCGCTTTATATGGTGGTGTAACATGCCTTCAGAATGATGTAACTTTGGGACACGGGCTCGGAGCGGAACTTCAGCAAGTCAGGTCCCCGATGTTCTCCGAGCACATTTCTGCGATGAGACGGTCGGCTGCGCAGAACTGCCCATGCACCGACCCATCACTGTGCGACACCATCAAAACAACAAGATCGAAAGAGGTAACAGTATACATTATATACCTCACTTAAGAAATCCAGCCATCTGATTGGTCGAATTGCATTCATAAACTTCAACTGTTCCTGTAAAATTCTCGGTAACCATGCTTAAAACATTTCAATATTTTTAATAACCATGGTTAGATCTAGATCTATTATTGTATTAAAAATATTTGGTCAGCCTCCATGGTTACCCCATAGGTTTACATGTTAAAAAATGGTTTGAGCGATGGAGGATGCCGTATGTGTGCGAAGGATTGGTCGGTAATTTCAATACAATTGAATCTCGATCGATCTTACCGACAATTTTATCTTGCATTGTTGACATGAAGACGAAAATAAACTTCCAAAAACAAAAAAACAACATCTGCCGATAGATCTTGATCTAAGTTCGTGCCAATATGCATTGCAAAAGTAAAAGAAGAGTCCGTATATGGAGCTTTTGCGAAGCATTCATCACACGCGAAGCCAGTTTCAATCCATTTTAATGTATATATTGGAGAAAACTGCCAAGCATGTTAACGGCGGGCCATAGCTGAGTGGTCTAAGCGTTGGTTTTCGGTACACCTCTTGTTGTACGCAAGAGTTCGAATCCCGTCTTCGACAAAAATGATAAATATTTTTAATTTTTCATTTTTTAGTCTATTTTTTTTCGGCATATAAAAGTATTAATGACTGCTTTAATATTCGAGAAATAGTTGTTTTCATACGCTCTCGGGAAGGTTACAATTGGGCTATTCCCCTCGGCAAGCCTCGGGGAATAGCACAATTCTAACCTTCCCTTGAGCGTAATAAAACAACTATTTCTCTCAAAGCAGTCATTAATACTATATCAATTAACAGATTATATAGCCTTTAGAATTTAAGTGACCTTTAGAAAATTGGTTATATGCTTCCATTTCCATTTAAAAATAAAATTCTATTTTCATTTAAAGACTTGAACTGAACTTATGTAAGAAGATGATGAGCTACAAATGTATAAGTTATAGTCACTATAAGTAGACCTCTATAGGCTCTAGACCTACTGTATGACTGAGGAAATTGAGTCATCGTTGATGTCTAGGACTACGGCCTACGTACATCAATCATGTAAATAATGATGTATCTTTGAAATTGATTTCAATTTCCATTCATGTCTTCCAAAGTTTGATGATGAAGATGGAAATGAATACAAACAGACTCCAAGGAATTTATAAACAAATTAATTCAAAATATGTTTATTTGTAATGTAAACTCAACTTTCAAAAGAGTAAATTGGCTCTGTTTAAAAAAAAAAGTAAAACATAAACATGATAAACCAAACATGCATGTCCCAAACTTCAAGGCCCAAGAGTCCAAGACGGTCAAAAATTACATTCTGTTTACATACTTCAAACATGTATTTTTAGCCGATTTTATAGGATCAGGACTATGTATATTTTTGACGAATGCAATTTTCGGAGCTTATCTATTTTTTTTTTTTTCACCAGATACAAATACTAAAAAAAAGTATGAGAAAATATCAAAAATTATAACAAGGAAAACATAAAAAAGACGTCACGATTAAAAATATTTAAAAAAAATTGATAAGGAAGAAAAGATAGGAAACATCAACAAAATATTCATCATTTATGAGTTCAGGAGGTGTTTTTTAACTAATCGTTTGAACTGTTTTACGGTCTTACTATTCTTGAGATTAGTTGGGAGGTTATTCCAAATAATTGGTCCATTAATTGTAAAAAATTGAATTCTCAGTTGTTGTATGCGGTTTAAAGGGCGGTGGATATTTTGAGCATTTCTAGTATTGTAATTTTGAATGGAACAATAACAATTCAAAGTAAAATAATCATCATAAATCTTTGGAAGAAGTTTATTAGACAGTTGAAACATGAAAATTGCACCATTAAAAGGGACTTAATTGGTAACATTGTTCAGATGAGAGATAGTGTGCTAAGGTAGTGACTTCAATGCTATATACAATTAAAGATAATCTGAAAATTTGAGTGAAAAAGGACCATTTTTAATGATACACATTGAGTAAAACTGATCTGATCGATTCCTTAATTCTCTCAACTATATTTTTGCAATTTAATTACATTTTACGTGAATGTAAATCGTCACAAAGCAATAAATTAGCCCTACATACCATTCCAGACATTAAAGTGTTGACAGATTTTTAAAAGCCTGTTTTATGTCTTTTTTTTCATGGAAAAACGGTTGGGACATTTCAAAAATGGTTGGGAGAATTTACTGTTAATCACTGTTAGAGGGTGTTGCACAGTGACGCCTTCAAAGAAATCATAGATATCTTCGTGGTTTGAGAATTTTTTTCAGGATTTTTTTGCATGTCAGAGGGTTGTTAGTACAGTAGAAAGAATATAATAAGTAACATTTTATACAAAAATTAAGCAATTTTTTCATCAACCTTCAACGATGTTACTGAGTCACTTTAAGGTTACTAAATCACGGATAGGTAGGATTTGTATTTTTTTAAATAATGGTAGAGTGTGAGACAGATAAAAAAAAAAAAAAGTGTAATAAGCCAGGCGAATCCCACGTTTCTGTAATTTATAAATTCGTTTAATATTTCTCTTAGAAGTGAAACCCCCAACAATATTACAATAATTTAAATGGGAAGAAATTAGGACATGGTAACACATTTTCAAAACAGTCTGAGGTAAAAAATTAAATCTGAATAACAGAAACTCAAAGAGAGCTACATGGATGCATGTTTTTAGCATGTTTATGCAAGTTTTCTATTTAAAAGCAGTACAGGTATGCATGCACCTGTAAGGCTGTATGCCAATTCATGAAGTAAAAAAAGTACCGGTATGCAAAATTAAGCATGCATACATGTACACATGAATGCATGTTGATGCATGATGTAAGCATGTGCAAATATTAGCAGCAAGCATACACATTGATGCATGTTTGTTGAAATTGCACATGCATCGGCATAACATGAAATAAGGAAGTGGAAATGGTGAGAATTGGTCTCGTTTATGCAGTTAGCTGGATCGTGTAGATCAACATTGCCATTGTGCTAAGAATTTTTTTCAGGGACTTCCCTATTTGATTTGAGATCACATATAAGGAATTACTTCATCCTCACAAGTAAACTGAAACCAAAAGTCAGGCACTATTGCTATGATGTATACATTTTGAACCAAGAAGTTATAATGGACTGAGAAAGAATTCTAATTCTGCTTTTCTATGGCAATGTCCTATGATTGTTTTGTTTGAAGACCTGGGGGGTGTTTCACAAAGATTCTAAGTTGAACTTATCTCTAAGTTGGACTTAAAAATTATGGACAGCCATTCGAGCCTTAAAATGAAATATATTCAAAAGCAGATCATTCAAGTATTTTAGACTTTTTATAAATTCCACATCCAGAACATGAAATGTCCTTGATGATAGAAAATATGAATGATTTGAATCAACATTTTTTGCCTTTCCAAATATTCAAAGATGCTAACAGCTTTCCATAATTTTTTAATTCCAACTTAGAGATAAGTTCAACTTAAGATCTTTGTGAAACACCCCCCTGGAATTTTATTTTAACTAACTACATGTACCTGTACATCTACCCATTGACTAGTGAATCCTTTAAATCCAATTGGTTTTAGTATAGGAGTCACCCTGTCCCAGCTTAATTTGTGTTGCAGATTGCAAGTCTTACAGTATATGGAATTGTGTAATGACTAATATATGTCACATGTTTTGTGAGAGGGAATAAAATATTGCTTTTCTGATTAAAAATTCTGTTTCTTTTATGATGCCTGTAGAGGTGGTGTGGTCTAGTGGATAAGCCACCCGACCGCAGATCACAAGGTACGGGGTTCAAATCCCAGCCAGACACTAACGTCCTTTAGCAAGACGTTAATGTACATTTGCCACTCTCCACCCAGGTGTGAAATGGGTACCTGAGAGGATGCAAAAGTTAATGTATTTCGCTCAGCATTGTGAGCATCTAAGATGCCTGGGAATGGAGAATGTGCATACAGTACATTGTTTACGGGCAAGCCTGAATCCGTTGATCGGGGTTATTGTATATCTGTAAAGCGCTTGGAGACATGGTTCATGTATTAAGTGCTATATAAAAGTAGAATATTATGGTTCATGTGATGCACAACTTTTTAGAATTACTTTACACAGCTTTAGATGCACTTGGAGAGCAAAATAATTATTCTGTTTTATTTACTAATGGAAAGCACTTAAGTTTGAGCATGTTATGTTAAAGCACTATATAAATATCAATATGTATGTATGTATGTACCGTATGTATTATAATTGTTACTAATTTATTCTTTATTCAGATTTTTCTGTTCTCTGTGTCACCTAATAATTGGCAAGACTATGATTGGGATCATATTACAACCATCACTATGTTTGGTTACTACGACCCAAAGCTCATGTGCTTCGCTCACTCCAAGGGGGTTCGAGTGGTTGATCTGGGTAAGAAAAATTCTTTTTTTAAAAACAATTTAACTTATTTGAAAAGACCTTGAGAGTTTTCGAACTAATCACAAGATTAAATCCCCACTGCACTACTTATAGCTACTTGCGCCCTCTATATTACAAAAAATGCATAATTGGTGACCATTGGTCCCCCATGATCCTCTTTTTCTTATACTGTATGTTAATTGAGAGCTGATTTGATGAGATGACCACCTGTCCAGTGACCTTGCAGGGTGGTCTAATCCCTCTTGTTTACTTGTACAGATGGGCTTTAAAACAAATATAAAGCAAAACAGAGCAAAAAGTCAGAGCTATACCAGCACTTTGGCTTAGTAGTAATACAATTGAACTATTAGAGCCAAGTACACTTAAAAAGATCTAAAAAGTACATTACCAAATTAAGATGATTTAAAGTCTATCTGCACTAGTTTGGCCAGGAGGGATTAGACCTCCCTGCGCGGTCACAGGCAGGTGGTTATCTCATCAAATCAGCTCTCAATTGACTTAAGAAAAAAAGGTATCATGGGGGACCAACAGGTACCACTTAGGCATTGTTGGTTATATAGAGGGCGCAAGTAGTTCAGTCCCCCTTTAAGAGCCTGGTATCACTAAAAATAGACAATACCTAAATCATCAGCATGATTAGAAATCTCATTTTAACTAATTTTGCCAATTCCCCAAACTTTTAGGGAAACAAACTGCTAAAGAAAAGATATGTTTTTGAAGCAGGGGGTGTTTCATACAGCTGTGCGTAAAGTTACGAATGACTTTACAAATGATTTGAATATGAAGAGCCAATTGGGATGTCCAAAGTTTTTCCTGATATTTTAACAAAGTGTGAGTGCATATTTCCTATAATCTCAATTAAATGTTAGCCCAAAATACACTTTGCATTAAAATGTTTTGTTAATAATGATAAGGTTAATCAACATCTGCATATTACAACTTTAGCTTGTGGAATTAAAAGGATTTGAGAATCCCATTTAGCTCTTCATATTCAAGTCATTGGTAAAGTCATGCGTAACTTTATGCACAGCTTTATGAAACACCCCCCTGATTGTATATAATGCTATGCTTATATTCAATTAATTGATAACCATTGATTTTTTTATTGAATTTTTTCAGGTGGATTTGGGGCTGATCTGCTGACCAATGACACGGCCCGGATGGAATGGGTCATGTCAAAGGTCGAGTTTGCAATCATCAATCACCTGGACGGTATCAATCTGGACATTGAGTTCGCGCTGACCAAAGAAGAAGCTCCGCTACTGACTAGTTTTGTCCAGATGACTACCGAGGTTTTCAAGCAATCCATCCCATATTCTCAGGTAAAAATGTAGTCTTGGGTTAGTGAGTAGCCACAGATCCTTGCCCATCGTAATTGGGTTACAACAAAGTGTCTGAACTTAGAGACTAGATGCCGATTGCACAGTCTAATCATGGACTCACAACATTAAAGAATGGACTTTCGACGGCGAGAGTAGTAAAACTAATGATAGCTACAACCTGTTCTTATGTCTAACTTTCCTCTATGTTTTAAAGATAAAGACCAGTTCTGGTCATGCGATTGCATTGTGAAAGAAACGTGGAATCGATCAGAAAAGGTTGATCATCTAGCATATAAGTATTGGTGTGTACTGCAAGGTTCTGGAATCATCAAAATGATAAGAAATTTGGCCCAATCTTCGTAAAGTTACAAGCACTGTACACAGAAAGATGTGTATGGGACTACGCACACGTACGCGACACATGCGTTTATCTCTCACACACCAATAGATAAACTAATTTACCAAATATATGGTAGTAGGCGTTTTCCCCGCAAAATTTTTATCATCATGTGTTAGTCAAAACATATTCTTTCACATGATTGGTAATAAGAGCTTCCATTTCGTTTTTTGAAATTGGGGCGTTCCCAATACTGGTCTTTACCTTTAAGTCTGACCGCAACGCTATATTTTGATGAGCTCCGATGAGGGGCTTTTGGTCCTATGAGATCCACCAGGGTTCTGCTGCCCTCTATCAATGGGTCAAATGATGATGACCTGATGTAGAACCTACTCGTTGAGAGTGGATATGTGACCAGATATTCATATCTCCTCACCTGTAACTGGTCATTAGAAAGTGACAATGATCAGCCATTAGTATACAAATATTACACAGCAGTGAGGGTATTAGTAAGAATTACCCACAGTCCCACACTCTGTAGCTTCAAAACAGTCCAAACACTATCAGCTATCGCCTCAGGCGTGTTAGACTGTTCCAAAGGTACCTCGTGTGGGTAATTCTTGTATCATTTGTTTTAAAGATTATGTTTGATTTGTTTGATAAAATTATGTTTTATTTGTTTGATAAAATTATGTTTTATCACATGATTTTACTAATGACAGGTCATTAGTATTTGATAATGACCGGTCATTATCAACATTTCCTGTTAGGCAAAATAAATGCCAGGTCACATACACTTTTAACCAATCATTTGAATAGGATCCATGTCATCATCTTATAATATTTTTTAATGACCAGTATATCCCTCTCTTATGTAAATCAATTAATGTCCATTCCTTCCCCAACCCTTCCTCAGGTGACCTTCGATGTTGCTTGGTCACGGGACTGTATCGATCTCCGTTGCTATGAGTGAGAGACTTACAGAGAGAGACTTACAGAGAGACTTACAGTGAGACTTACAAAGAGAGATTTACAGAGAGAGACATACAGAGAGAGACTTACAGAGAGAGACTTACAGAGAGAGACATACAGAGAGAGACATACAGAGAGAGACTTACAGAGAGAGACATACAGAGAGAGACATACAGAGAGAGACTTACAGAGAGAGACTTACAGAGAGAGACATACAGAGAGAGACTTACAGAGAGAGACTTACAGAGAGAGACGTACAGAGAGAGACTTACAGTGAGACTTACAAAGAGAGATTTACAGAGAGAGACATACAGAGAGAGACTTACAGAGAGAGACATACAGAGAGAGACTTACAGAGAGAGACTTACAGAGAGAGACATACAGAGAGAGACATACAGAGAGAGACTTACAGAGAGAGACTTACAGAGAGAGACATACAGAGAGAGACTTACAGAGAGAGACTTACAGAGAGAGACTTACAGAGAGAGACTTACAGAGAGAGAGACATACAGAGAGAGATTTACAGAGAGAGACTTACAGAGAGAGACATACAGAGAGAGACATACAGAGAGAGACTTACAGAGAGAGACGTACAGAGAGAGACTTACAGTGAGACTTACAAAGAGAGATTTACAGAGAGAGACATACAGAGAGAGACTTACAGAGAGAGACATACAGAGAGAGACTTACAGAGAGAGACTTACAGAGAGAGACATACAGAGAGAGACATACAGAGAGAGACTTACAGAGAGAGACGTACAGAGAGAGACTTACAGTGAGACTTACAAAGAGAGATTTACAGAGAGAGACATACAGAGAGAGACTTACAGAGAGAGACATACAGAGAGAGACTTACAGAGAGAGACTTACAGAGAGAGACATACAGAGAGGGACATACAGAGAGAGACTTACAGAGAGAGACTTACAGAGAGAGACATACAGAGAGAGACTTACAGAGAGAGACTTACAGAGAGAGACTTACAGAGAGAGACTTACAGAGAGAGAGACATACAGAGAGAGACATACAGAGAGAGACATACAGAGAGAGACTTACAGAGAGAGACATACAGAGAGAGACTTACAGAGAGAGACTTACAGAGAGAGACATACAGAGAGAGACATACAGAGAGAGACTTACAGAGAGAGACTTACAGAGAGAGACATACAGAGAGAGACTTACAGAGAGAGACTTACAGAGAGAGACTTACAGAGAGAGACTTACAGAGAGAGAGACATACAGAGAGAGACATACAGAGAGAGACTTACAGAGAGAGACATACAGAGAGAGACTTACAGAGAGAGACTTACAGAGAGAGAGACATACAGAGAGAGACTTACAGAGAGAGACTTACAGAGAGAGACATACAGAGAGAGATTTACAGAGAATGACTTACAGAGAGAGACTTACAGAGAGAGAGACATACAGAGAGAGATTTACAGAAAGAGACTTTCAAAGAGAGACTTACAGAGAGAGAGAGACTTACAAAGAGAGACTTCAATAGAGAGACTAATACAGAGAGAGACTTACAGAGAGACTTACAGTGAGACTTACACAGAGAGAGAGAGACTTACAGAGAGAGAGACTTACATGTATAAGAGAGAATCTTACAGAGAGAGACTAACAGTGAGACTTACAGAGAGAGATTTACAGAGAGAGACTAATACAGAGAGAGACTTACAGAGAGACTTACAGTAAGACTTACACAGAGAGAGAGAGACTTACAGAGAGAGACTTATAAGAGAGAGACTTACAGAGAGAGACTTACAGAGAGAGACTTACAGAGAGTAAATTAATTAGGGTATATGTCCATTCCTTCCCCAACCCTTCCTCAGGTGACCTTTGATGTTGCCTGGTCACCTGACTGTATCGACCTTCGTTGCTATGACCACAAGGCCATCGCCGACACCGTTGACTTTGTCTTCGTCATGTCATACGATGAACAGAGTCAAATCTTTGGAGACTGTATAGCAAAAGCCAACTCGCCATATGAACAAACAGCACAAGGTCTGTACATATACCTTCTTTATAAGCTTGCATTAGATATTAAAGATAAACTTGAGTTCTGGTAAAAAAAGAAAATGAATTCTCACAGAATCTAACAAAACTTACACTGAATGTTCAAGATTACAAATAAATGTCATGTGCCAAACAATTTTGGAAGAAAATGTATACTGGCTGAGTAATGAGCATAGAAAGATAAGGAAATCAGGGTAGTACTAGCCCCGACACCATGTGTGTTGTCCCACATACATCTTTCTGTGTAAGTGATTGTTACTTTTCAAGAGAAAATCTTTCCATCCATATGTAATTTGTTCTTTGTGTAGCTCCTTTAACGGTTTTTAGAACACTACAGTCTATTGTGGAAAATAGTACCCCAGTACCAGTAAGGTAAAACGGGTCACTCGAAGGTTTTTACTTTTTTGAGGCACTTTATGATCATTTTGAAGCACAATATTTTTAGGGCTTCAATATTGCACCATATCACAGACACTGATAACACATGCACTTCAGATTTAACATTGTTAAACGTATTTAAATGTTGTAATTTTAAGCAGGGGATGATGCCTGATAAACCTCTGGTTTTTGATCACCCCCCCCCCCCCTCTGCAAGTTCATCTTTTGTTTTAATGCTTTTATATTTGATTGTAATTTATATTGTCTTTTTATGAATCTGTGGAAGTTAATGAAATTGAAATTGAAATAATTTGACTTTTACTCTTATTTTTGTTGTAGGTGTTGAAGCATTCCTCAAGCTTGGTATACCTGCCAAGAAACTTGTCCTGGGAGTACCCTGGTATGGATACAACTACAAATGCTTGACCGTGTCTGAGGTAAGAAATTATTCATTTACCATTCCTGGGGGTGTTTCACAAAGACTTATAAGATCAACTTTAAAGCCCCACTGTCCTACGTGGAAGCTACTTGCTCCCTCTATATAGAAAACTTCCCCAATCGGTGCCTGTTGGTCCCCCATGATCCTCTATTTCTTATGTTATTTGAGAGCTGAGTTTATGAGATAGCCACCTGTCAGTGACCTCGCTGTGTGGTCTAATCTCTCCTAGCCACACTAGTGTTGATAAGCTTTAAGTTGGACTTAACTATGGCAGGCCATTCATGCCACTGACTGGTTGCTCTCACCATTGGTCGCCAGGCTCTCAACTATGATCTTGAGGTAATATTTTTTTCCTCCGATAATGAACTATCAACAAATGTAAATTCTATAGATTGGTGACCATGATTTGTATGTCCCTTGAGAGACCAACGCTAGTATAAATAAATATGTTTGCATTCGTAATGCTCTCATGCTTTCATCTAATTTGAAATTATTTTTGGAGGTAATAACTTCCGAAATCAGAGATTCGAGGATTTGTATTAAACAGGGGTGCCATTTTGTTTCTTGCACGTTGTCCATCCAAGCAAACACTATGACATTGCATAGAACATCATGCACACAAACTTCAAACTTCAAACAAACTGGTCTCTTGGAGGATTCGAACTTCTGATCCTTTAGTCTGCAGTCCAGCATGCTATCTGCGAGAACGAGTTAAGATGGAGCGGCGATATACCTTAATAGATACAATCCAGACTACATCTCCTGTGCCATAGATGGCGCTACTCACTATGTCATCTAACCCTAACCCTCATCCTTTTGTATCATGTTTTATATATCATATTATTATTAGATATATCTTTTCGAGGGTTCAGTGACACAAAGATGTAACTCCATACTTTGCCAAAATGAGTATTTGATATCAAAACGTTCAGAAAAATGTGGGCTTTCCAGGAAACACAAAGACTTAACTCCACCCAACACCCCATTATAGTCAATGGCCAGTGAAACATAGATTTAACTCTTTGAGGCCCAAGTGCTCGGTGACACATAACCACTTTTTCTCAAAATGGAGTTATGTCTTTGTGTCACTGACCCCTCGATTTGAAACTGTACCCATATTTTCTGATCAAGTTGGGTGGCTGTCGCAAAAGGAAGTCTTCTCACACTCGATATTGAACACTTTCTTCTCTCCACAGACCGACGTATGCACCATTCCTGAGGTGCCGTTCCGTGGCGTGAACTGCAGTGATGCGGCGGGTAATCAGAAGAGCTTTGTCAACGTCATGAAACTCCTGGTGTTGAACTCTACGACGGGCAGAAAATGGAATGCAACTTACAAAGCGCCTTATTTTGATTACAAGGTATTAATTTTGAAAATTAAATGAGGGATAACAATATTTCAATCCAATATTTCTATCTAAAATGTGGAACCAATCTAAGATTTACTAAGAAGTACAGAGATTCTTTGTCCCCATAATGAGACTGGTTTACTATCATATTCAAATTTATGAATGTTTCTTTTCTGGGGGACCTAAGTGACGAGTTATTCTATTAACATGTTACTGGACCTGAATGAACTACAATACTCAAAATCCAGTCTGCATATAGAACTTGTTGCTTTGTTGGGCAAACATTGGGCAAGCTTTCAAGTACAACCCTTGCTTAAAGGGTGGGAATCTTTGTCTCAGCTTCTCAAACAAAATCCTTGATTTAGCTCATGCTGCAATCATAAGTATAAACCTTTATGTCAGTTAGGAACCCCATGACTTTTACAAACCTATTGCATGTCTGATTATCAAGATATTTATGATTGGAAATCGAAATGTCAAAAACCGTTTTCCTAACATTTTTATAACACTACAGTCTATTGGGGAAAATGAGTATGGTAAAACCGGTCACTCAAAGATTTTTACAATTTCTTAGGGCTTCAATATTTCACCATATCAGACACTGATAACACGTAGGGCCATGCCTCTCAGATTTAACATTGTTAAATGATGCCTTTAAAAAGTATGCAGGAAATATGGTAGTACACCGGTCTATTCATGATTTTAATATTCCATCCCACTTACAGAATTCTGAAACGGGTGAGGCGTATCAAGTGTGGTATGACGATACTCAGAGCCTACAGCTCCGCTACGACTATGCCAAGAAGATGGGTCTTTACGGAGTAGGGCCCTGGAACGCTGACCTCTTGGACTACGGCAATGACCCTATTGGTAGGAACCAGACCGACGCTATGTGGGCTGCTATGGCTACCTTTCTCAATCCATAGAATCTTCAGCTATGTTATGACTACGGACCTCTTAGACTACGGCAATGACCCTATCGGTAGGAACCTGACCAATGCTATGTGGGCAGCAATGGCTAGTTTTCTTGGTCCATAGAATCTTCAGCTATGTCATGAATATTCCAAGAGAAGTAAAATAGAACTGTATGGAGTAGTGGAGTAGGACTAATGTTGACCTCTTGGGGCCCAACAGATTGGCAGACAGTTCGTGAGACAGACAACATGGGACCCCCCCAGAAAAGTTGTCAGAAGGCTTAATGTTCCATCCTATATTTCCATCAAAGCAGTACCAAAATTGAACATTAAAGGAATCCTCACCCCAAAGAATAAGTGCAGGTTTGCTGAAAGATGAGATGTATTTCTGCCTTATTGATATACAATATTCAATTCAATTCAATTAATTCAAATCAATTCAATTTCTTACGATAATGTAGAACAGATACATGTATATATAAATAAAGATATTCTTGGCATGATTTAATGCCTTTTAGCATGACATGGGCGCAGCCATTTTCATGATAATGTGACGTACGAGGTGAACTTGAGCATGAGGTATCATGCACCAAGCTCTAGTTGGAAAGACTTTTTAGTTCAATAACAAAACCTTTTCTTTTCAATGAGGGAAAAAATCAAAGTATAGAAGGTAAAATTCTATTTGATGAAAAATATATAAACAGGGAAACATTTTTGAAAACTTTGTAAACATTTTTTTCAAGCTGGATATTACATGTAGCTTGAAAAGCATGAAATAATGGGAGGAAATTAGGGGACTGAATTTAATATTACATCATTTTGCTGTAAATTTGCGCTTCCATGCTTTGAAAAAGCAAAATATTGTTGATGTTACATGTTAATCTTTTTGTATTTTTTTACTCAGAAGAAAAAGTACTGTGCAATTGAACTTCAAGATGAATCTTAAATGTAGACTAATAAAGAACTAGTAAGAATTATTGAACATGAACTCTAATCATGTCTTTGTCTTCTTAAATACCAATGCTAATTCTAATTTCTCCAAGAGAATTCTCCTGTTCATGTGGCTTTTCTGAAATATTATATTTGTATGGAATAGACAGATCATCATGTTTTGTAAAAGATTCATGTATGATAATAACATTTTCATAAAAATGTTTGTATAGTATTTTGTGTATTTCAAGCTTTGTTGAAGATGAAACCAGAGTGTGAGATGGGGGAGACAGCAAGAGGGAAAAATAAGAAGGAAGTAGTGAGAGAAGTGGGTTGATATCAGGTGGAGAGGGAGTAAGGATTAGGGACACATTCAAAAGTTAGAGAATGAGAGGGAGAGAGAGTCAGAGACACATTCAAAAGTTAGTGAATGAGAGGGAGAGATAGTTGGAGACACATTCAAAAGTTAGTGAATGAGAGGGAGAGATAGTTGGAGACACATTCAAAAGTTAGTGAATGAGAGGGAGAGAGAGAGTCAGAGACACATTCAAAAGTTAGTGAATGAGAGGGAGAGATAGTTGGAGACACATTCAAAAGTTAGTGAATGAGAGGGAGAGATAGTTGGAGACACATTCAAAAGTTAGTGAATGAGAGGGAGAGAGAGAGTCAGAGACACATTCAAAAGTTAGTGAATGAGAGGGAGAGATAGTTGGAGACACATTCAAAAGTTAGTGAATGAGAGGGAGAGATAGTTGGAGACACATTCAAAAGTTAGTGAATGAGAGGGAGAGAGAGAGTCAGAGACACATTCAAAAGTTAGTGAATGAGAGGGAGAGAGAGTCAGAGACACATTCAAAAGTTGGTGAATGAGAGGGAGAGAGAGTCAGAGACACATTCAAAAGTTAGTGAATGAGAGGGAGAGAGAGTCAGAGACACATTCAAAAGTTAGTGAATGAGAGGGAGAGAGAGTCAGAGACACATTCAAAAGTTAGTGAATGAGAGGGAGAGAGAGTCAGAGACACATTCAAAAGTTAGTGAATGAGAGGGAGAGAGAGTCAGAGACACATTCAAAAGTTAGTGAATGAGAGGGAGAGAGAGTCAGAGACACATTCAAAAGTTAGTGAATGAGAGGGAGAGAGAGTCAGAGACACATTCAAAAGTTAGTGAATGAGAGGGAGAGAGAGTCAGAGACACATTCAAAAGTTAGTGAATGAGAGGGAGAGAGAGTCAGAGACACATTCAAAAGTTAGTGAATGAGAGGGAGAGAGAGTCAGAGACACATTCAAAAGTTAGTGAATGAGAGGGAGAGAGAGAGTTAGGGACACATTCAAAAGTTAGTGAATGAGAGGGAGAGAGAGTCAGAGACACATTCAAAAGTTAGAGAATGAGAGGGAGAGAGAGAGTTAGGGACACATTCAAAAGTTAGTGAATGAGAGGGAGAGAGAGTCAGAGACACATTCAAAAGTTAGAGAATGAGAGGGAGAGAGAGAGTCAGAGACACATTCAAAAGTTAGTGAATGAGAGGGAGAGAGAGTCAGAGACACATTCAAAAGTTAGAGAATGAGAGGGAGAGAGAGAGTCAGAGACACATTCAAAAGTTAGTGAATGAGAGGGAGAGAGAGTCAGAGACACATTCAAAAGTTAGTGAATGAGAGGGAGAGATAGTTGGAGACACATTCGAAAGTTAGTGAATGAGAGGGAGAGATAGTTGGAGACACATTCAAAAGTTAGTGAATGAGAGGGAGAGATAGTTGGAGACACATTCGAAAGTTAGTGAATGAGAATGAAAGAGAGAAGAGGAAAATGTTGAGATGGAAACAAGAGAAGATGGAGGGGGAGATGGAGAAAAAAAGGGTTGCAGAAGGAAGAGGAGAAGTGAAGGAGATGAACATGATGGATGAATATGTTGGGGAGGGGGCAGAAAAATATGGAAAGAAGGGTACAGCTTGAACATACAAGACGGACAAGTAAAAATCAATGGGTATTACAAACATTCTGGGGTGGTATTCTGAAAATGATGTCATCCTTCACGTTAGTATAATAATATTAGTTGTCATAATAAATCAAAATTAGGACAAGTCGTGGATTAAGTGTTGGCATAGTATGAGTTTATTGTTACACTGTTTTCACTACCATGGAAGATAACATCGTTCTCAGAATACAGCCCCTGAAAATGCTTTACAAATTGAGAGCAAAGGAAAAATACAGAAATACTTTCATAAAATCCTTTAATTTCCACCTATATGTTCTTCTTTACAGAAAATAACACATTTCATGATACAGTAGATATAACAAGATCGCAATATATATTTGTTTAGCTTTATGATATAAAGCACATAATGGCTCATGAAAATAGCTCCTCTAAATGCTGCATATATATGACTAATGATAGGGCTTAAGTGTACATGCACGTACATCAAAATTCAAACACAGAGGAAAAATTAATCACAAAATAATAGTCATAGACTTGTTGAATGATATAAGCTGAAGTTGAATCGATCATATCTCCCTTTTTTAATAAGATAATTATCGCTTTTTGCTTTGGTTTTATTAGAAAGTACCGGTATGTTTATTGCTCTTTAAAATGATAACATCTTTATATTTGTGAAGGTTTTGCAGGGATAGAATGAGCAGGACATCAGAATACGGGCAGGGTCAAAAGTGAAAAGTTGCACAATTTGCTGGTATGCACTGGTCTTGTTATGCAGTGCACTACACAGCAGTGATACACTCTTCAAAGAAAGGAGAATGCACAGCCGCACATGAGCGGTGCATTGTGCAAATTTTGACCTTGCTCTATATTTTGATATACCGTAATGCACATTCCATGACTGAAAAATCACAACAAATGGGGCATCATTTTTTAAGAAGAAGAAATACACTTTCTAATGATACTAAACATAGCGATGATTATGCCTTAAAAACAGATATATAATCAATAGAACTTGAATTTCAGAAAAAAACGAGGTGTAATTAGTTCAGTAGCAACAAAAGCAACAAAAACTTATAAAGCATCTATGAACTGGTCTTCAGATGAGTGGGAAGCTATTTTATTTGCAGTTGGATTTTATAAAAATAGACAAATGGCAATTACTTCCAAAAAAACTTGTCATCCATATGGCCTAAAAAAAAAGATGTTGTATTGCCCTTTGCGACTGACCAAAAAAATCTTTTTTTTTAGAAAAGTAATGTTTTAAAGCATTCAAAACTGAGAAATATCAGCCCAAAGAGGGAGAAAAAAAAAGAAAAAAAAATCTGACCGACCGACCATCCAATGTTTTGGCACCTAAAGGGCAATACAACATCTTTTTTTTTAGGCCTTATATTAATATTGTTGACATATCTTGTTAAACATTTCTGACAACTTGGGTGAAAACTTTTTCAGTTTAAAGGTCGGAAATAATTGATCCGGACAACCAGACTGCCGGACACACAACATACGGGTAGACATGGTTACAAGATTAAAAATATAACAAGCTCTTGGCAGTATTATGTAAACGGAACATCTTCTATTCAACAACCATCTACAATTAAAGAACTTATTTGTTTTTACAAACGCGTATGAAGATTCCAGACTTCTGATTGGTCAAAACTGAAGACAACCAATTTGCTGCTAAATGCTGGGCAGTATAGCCAACATTTATTGACCAGGCATACAGTAGTTTTACTTGCGCATACAGTAAAAAGATGCAGTGGCTGAGCGTAAAGTTAACAATAGATACACGCACAGGACAGTTTCGCAATCACCTTTTAACTGTGCCCCTCAAAGTAGTAAACGTTTGTATCAGTATTTGTATAGTATGAAACCTTCCGACTTTGAGCATATGTTGCACTTCTTCATTGGCATTTCATACAAATGGCCCAAATTATTGAATATTAATGCCTTATCTACATGTATAATGTTCTAAATTTTTTTGGTTACATAACAATAACATGCGCTATAATAATATCAAATTAAGACAATTTACATGCACCATCTAAATGAGCACTATTTACAACTTGTGAAATAAAAAAAAATGATAAAATCACATTTATAACTGAAGTACTGATAAAGTAAAATTTTACGTAATATGGGTCTCAACATTATTTTGAATTTACAATTAAATATCTTCTCATTTTTGGTATTATTTTCAAACAATAATCTACATGATACTGTACATGTATATTTGATGTTTTATATCAAGTTCATCACGACTTTAGCTCCAGAATTAAAAAATAAAAATGACTGGGTATATAACTTTACCTCAGTTATTCAATAGTAACATACATATACTGTATATCATGTACATGTATGCCCTAAAAGAAAAGGTATCAATTATTTGGATGCACTGTATGAAATGATTAAATTAGTAAAAGTCTTGCTAAATAATTCTTTTAATTTTTTCTATCGTATATATACATGTACATGTTCATTCAATCTTAATAATAGTGTATAATCATATTGAATACATTTGTTGTATTTTTGTAATTCTGGGTAAGCCTCATACATGTATGAGAACCCTTAAAATAAAATGAATGAAGGAAATTCCTTCATACATGTATTTCTATCTCTCGGGCTATCTGCTTTTCACGATTTTCCGAAATGTTCATTCCTAAAACCTGTGACTTCATCAAGATATGTTAATCAAGTACTACATGACAATCATACAAAGGTCACACCAACAACGTGGAATGCAGACAGACGGCAGACCGAATAAAATAATTACAATATCCCAAACAACCAAGAATCGGTCATGTCATACCTTACAAGGTACTGTAAATTTTACCTATATGTTTGTAAAAACTTGATTCGTTCCAATTTAAGTTTCTTGAGAATGTGGTATACAGTGTATAAGCTTGCATCTGAAAGTATTCAACCAATTCACCATTCCTTCTTGAAATACAAAAACACAAAAAACATCAAAACTTACAAAAGGTATGAATATTTAGTTTGTTTACTGTAAAAGCTGCTAAAATAACGAAGACAATTTAATTCGTGATCATGATCCGATTTGCTTTCATGACTACTGGAACTCATAATATTAGAAGCTGGTCCGATGATCAGACAAATGTAGTCCCAACCATAATTTCTGGTGATGGTTTATCATTTCTTGAAAATCACTTACATTTAGTCCCAACCATAACATCTGGTGATGGTTTATCATTTCTTGAAAATCACTTACATGTAGTCCCAACCATAACATCTGGTGATGGTTTATCATTTCTTGAAAATCACTTACATGTAGT